TTTTTTTTTTTTCATCAGAAAATAAAATCTTCTTCCACTTCTCTATGTCCCATGTTTGGCACTTTTCAGCAAAGTTTAACTGAGCTGTTTTGTGTTGTCGAAGCAGGCATGGACTTTGAAGACATTTAGGGTTCTTAAAGTCTTTCTCTCAGAGATGATGTCTTATTGTTCTTGACCTGCATTCCATGTCTGTAAGGGCCCCTAATCTGGTTGGATGTTCAGCTGGTATCTTACCAGACAACCCATCAAATCCTCCTGATCAACACTGATTAAATTTTCTTTGGGCTGACCACTTGAAAGTTTTTCTTTCATATTCATCGGGGTCTTTTAAGAAATTTGCAACATCAGTTTTGTTATGTCCAATCTCACTAGTGATGGCAGATTGAGAGAGACCTTGCTTTTACAATTTGACATTTCAAACTCTGTTAACTTTTTAACCTTTACCATGTTTTTACCTAATGTACCACAAGAGATAGCACTAGGAGTTGTCAACTGCACTAATGCTTGAACACAAATGACTAAATTTCCTTACGTGTTTACCAGTTAAACCTTTATTTAAATATAGTTTTAAACTTTTGACCAGTGAGTATTTAGATTATTTTCCTAGTATTCAAATTTTCTAATGCTAAAAAAGTTTTTAATTTTTATTTTTCCTTTTCTCATTTTTTTTAAACTCTACTCAAATAAGTAGTTGAGTCTAACAATGCAAAAAAGGTATACAGTTTTGGCCAGCAGTGTATATAGATTCTAACTGATAAACAACCTGTTGCTTCCAATCAAAAATGCAATGACTGCAAAAAAATTACCTCTCCCTGAATTTATAGACAAACTGTACTGATATATTCCTTCCTAATGGGAGGTACGGTGGAGTAATGGATAGTAGCTCAGATTGAGGTATCGGAGATCCAAGTTCTAATTCCATTATGTTCACTTACATGCTAATACCCTTGGAAAAGGTATGAATCCTCTTCTTCTATAGGTAAATAGCAAGACCGACTGAGTTCTATAACCTTGGCAATCAGTTTAGAAGAAGAAAAAACTCTGAATTCAAAACCATCCTGGAGGAGATTGGACTCCGTCAGGCTAAGTTGTCTAAGAAACACCACTTCTACTGTGGCTGCAGTACACATGGTGCCCCTACGAACATATGGGTCATGGGATTAAAAAAAAAAATTCTCTTCCTAGCAAATAAGATTGGCCACTTCTTAGTCTCATCCACCATATTTTTTTTCTGTCTTGTCTTGAAGTCAGAACTCTGTGATCACTTTTCTGCATCCCTTTTGTGTGTTAACACCATTCTTACTTTGTGAATTTTTTGCCTTATTACTATCACTTTGCCTACTTTTGTCTTGCATATATATATATATATATAAGGTTTTTTTTTTGAAAAGTCATGGGACTGGGTGTGTTGTGTGATCTATGATTGAAAGGGGGATAAGCGGTTTGTGTTATCATCTAACATGATGATATCCCAGGAGTATATAACTGTAATATTAGCTTTCTGCAACTACTGAATTTTTTACATGCTTTTGTGGCAGAATAAATCATGGCTGCTTTACCATATCAACGTACCTGCTCACAACACCCTGAACATTATTTATTATTATTATTATTGATTTTTTTGGTTCCAATTCACATTGGAATGGTATTTACTTGACACCCACAAAGTCAAGATGTGACACAAGGTCATTTAACGTGGGAGACCCGAGTGTTTCCACTCAAAGGCCACTGGTCCAAAACTGGTCATAGCTTGTCCAAGCTGGTCAGAGCCTAGTCAAAGCTGGTCATGACTTGTCCTAGCAAGTCCAGGCCGGAGCCTTGATCGAATATCAGCCATAGGCCAAGAAACGATCCAATATTTGTCAAAAACCCCAACAAAAAAATTCGTCGGGAGAATTAATTCACATAGGAATGACTGCAAAAAGACCCCCTCTCCAAATTTATAAACAAATCTTACAGGTGCATGATGGGATTTCTTCCTAGCCAATGAGATTGCCCACTACCGCCATATTTTTAATCTTTCTTTCTGAATGTTCATCAGGTGGTTATAAGATCAGTCAAAAAATTAATAAAAAAGACATTTGGATGACACAAAAAGTGTCATTGCACATCAAAGTCATCAGGTGGTTAAAAAAAAAAGTAAAATAGACAAGTAATATTCAAGATTTTTTTTTTTTAAATGAATATTGTTTAAATTGGGATTAGGTGGTTATGTTATGCGATGTGAGTATGTGCTGTACCTCTTCAAAAACTTGAGGTGATAGATTTCACCATTTTCTTTTGATTTTTTAACATATTTGTTGTGTATGTTGCCTTGGGAATGTAGTAATTCTTTCAGGAAAGGTGAGATTGGGAAAAAATTGGGGCATAGATTTATAATTTGATAAGATTCGATAGCAGGAATCTCAAAAATTTTCCTTCTGAATAAATTACTTTCTCTTTTGATTGATTGTGACATTTTTTAGACCAAAATTGTGGTCAAATATATATATATATATATATATATATATATATATAGTCTGCTTTGTATTATAATTGTTCTGTTCTTTTCTTTTTGTTCTTATTGCTTATTGGAAACCTTGTCATTTCTGTTTGCTGGGTATTTCTGAAAATTACATTTAACCATGGCCAATTACTCTATAAGGACAGATTGTTTTTATTTTAGAGATGGCTATTAATGTCTCTTAATTCTTCTTTTAGGTTTTTGGGTCACTGCTGATGATAACTTGTGCCCAGGTTTGTTAAAGCATCAAACTCATCCCTTAGTTCTTCTTTTAGCCTCAATGTTTTCTGTACTATAGCCACCCACCTTGCCTACATGTATCACAATTTTTTTCTTCTCTACCTTCCACAACAACATCAAACACTCAAAAAAGGAAGAGTTGAATGGGTTAAAAACAGTTTCTTCTCAAAATTACTGACACTTAACTCACTTTTCATTTTCTATGCAGAAGATTACAATGTATTAAATTGTAAAAATATAATTGTGGTTAGCAATGTAAATGTATGAACCTATTGCAATGTGTGTTCACCCATACCTATATACACTCATATCGTGCCTGTCTGATATTTTGAAATCATTTTTGATTTGCTTTGTAACGTGGAGGACTTCAAGCTTGTATGAAGATATAAGAACCTATTGATCTCTGCGTATTCCTATATCAACGGAAGGGATTTCTTGAACTGTTTTTATAAAATAGTTCAATCGACCTTTTTTAATATTTTAATATATTGAAATCATCTTCGAATATGTTTTCACAACATCGCCCACGTGACGACGATGTGATCATATTTAAACAGAACGCTGATCTTATATAAAAATTTCAGTTATCTGTTTGGATTAGTTGTGCTCTTATGTCCATCATCTTTTCATGTTGAATTTTATATGTTCTAATTTTAATTATGTTTAATGAAAATGTCCTGATGATGGCCTAAAATAGACTGAAACGTCCAACGTTGACTTTATATTAACATTAATACAGCATAATTGCATATTAAGATTTTTGTTTGTTTTTTCTGTATATTTTTCTTCATACACTCATATTGCAAACATATTTGTGTGTGTGTTGGGAGGCTGGTGTGATAGGTAATTTTTCTCCAGTACCAAAAAAGTGTTTGAGTTTAGTTAAAATCCATGATTTCATATACAAATGATTGGATTTTCCCCAACTTAACATAAAACTCAATTCATTATTTCTGTGCTCAGTACATCCAGTTATCTTTTCCTTATTAAATAATTTATTTTCATTTTTTTTATTTCATCACATCTAAAAAAAAAATCTAATTATAAAAGATTAATGATGGCACCAAAAACTAATTTACCTGGACAACTACAAGTAGATGTTCTAGTAGATGTCTGTAAAAATGAAAAAAAGTTTCATTTATATTAAATGAGCACATGACCAAGTAGTAAAGGGTTAACATTCTGGCAACAAAACTCTTGTTCAGATCTCACTGTGATGCATTTGTGAAGTTAATGACTTCTTGATAATATCAGCCTGGAATGACAATCTCAGTCTGCGGCACTGATGGACAGTACATGAAAGCTACCCCTCTCCCCATGTTGAGCCACACTTTGTGAGTGAAATTGGAGAGACAAAACTGTTCAGCAGCAGTCAATAGATTGTTGCAGATTTGAATTAACCCACAACAAAGAAAATGGCATGAAATGTTTTTAAATACAAAAATATAAAATATTTTTATTTTAATGTTTTTTACAACTAAATTTTTCTCAGCAGGTATGAGAGTTAAAGTTCCTGTATTAAGTCTCTGTATTTGTAGATGCTTGTATAGATGAAAAAGAAATGTAATTAATTTGCGTATATATATGAGAAAAAAGAGGTAAGGAGGAAAGTGTAAATGTCATGTAGACTGGTGAGGAAGACAGGTGAATGAGTAAGGGATTCTTTTTGAAGCCTTGCCATGTCAGGGTTGTCATTCCTTCCTCCTTTCCTGGCTTGTCTGGTCTAGAATCTTTGCTTAAATACTCTTCAAGGGGATCACAAAGCATGTTTTTTTATTGTCAGCAGGAACACAACCCATTGGTTGAAAAATGTTAAATATTTATTTTCAAAGCGTTAATTTATTAACCGTAAGGATGTGCAGATCCTCAGAAACCATTTTTTGTCATTTGACAATCGACTGCCTTGGTGTTTATTTCCATTTTCATTCCACAAGTTATGTTAGCACATAGTCATAAGTCTTCACTGCATGGGCAGAGAGATGATCTTTAGTCATGTTTGGCAATCTATTTATAGATGGTGCATCAGTAAGAGTACTCATCCCCCATCAGCCTGGACACTCAAGGAGCTGCATTGGCCTGAAAACACACACAATGACTGAAATTCTTAAATAAATCAACTGAATTTGCAATCAGCCACAGGTAAAAATAAGGCAAGTCGCTGATTCATTTATATTTCTTCTTTACAGGTAATCAAATGACCTATGAGCCAAACTCACGAAAGCCGGCAGCCATTATGGAATGTTTACGTAACACTTTGATGGACCTGAGTCGCAAACTAAATAAAGCAACAGATGAGGTGAGTGTGAACATGTTTGTCAGTAATCATAGATCTCTCAAAAAATAAGGGAAAAAATGACACCTTCAAATAGAGTGTTTTTATCTGCACAGGAATTCTACGGAATCTCAAATTAAGAAGAAATATAAAATAGATGAGTATTATATTCACCTTTCCGTTCAGACTAGATTAATGCTGTTTATCTGTGACAGTCCATGAGGGAACTTTTCCCAAGTGTTTCAAGAAGTAGGACATCAAATAAGCCTTTTCAAAACAGAAACTATGATTTGGAATTAAAAGCATAAAACTTCAGGATGTGGAATTAGTAAATTCTAAACATTTTAAATACCTCAGTATATGGATCAGTGATAACAAATTTAGTATAGGAGTGAAGGAAATTGAATGCACGATCTGTTGCCCTAGAAGTACTTTTGTGCAACTTAATCAGATGCTTGCAAAAAGCAAAGTATTAAGCTGAGAACTCATTTCATGCTCTTAAATGGCCTCATCAAATCTAGACTTTCATATGAATGTCATGCATAACATCTAACTCATTCAGAAGTGTTTATACTCTCAGCTGTATGCAACCATTTTCTCACAACAATGATTAAAATTGGTTTCAAGCAAATGAATCCTCTATGTCTTGAAAGTAGACAGTCTTTTATCTGAATTGCAAACAAAGACATTTACGTCAACATATGCTTCTTGATGCTCCTTCAATTAAAGAGATGTCAAATAATAAGGACACAACTAATGCTCAGTGGATTCCTTAAGAAAAAATGATTGCAAATACTTTCACAAATATGGATCTTCAAGTTTTGACTTGTTCAGAACTATTCAAGAAGGCTGTATGTATATTAAGTTCTGACACTCTTTTCAGTAGACCTAGCACAGAGATGAGCACCATCTAGGAGCCTCTGAAAGGACACCCCAAAATTCCACTATCAAAGTGCAAATATTAAGTCCCAGCCACCTCATGGGTTAAAACATATCTAATTCCCTGGAGGTTGTAAGTTCGGTCCCTGGGTTGGGTAGTACAAAAATTTATATACTCTAATTCAGTGGCAAAAATGGTGTCACAAATGTGAATAATTCTGAAAAGTATTAAATGCTATGGGATATCTTCTAAGCATGGGGAATGGAATTCTGGGGTGATGAAAAAAAATGACAGACACCTGAAGAAGAATAGAGAGTACAAAAGTCAAAACATTTTGTGTACACCAACCAAGATGACTATGTAAAAGGCATGAAAGAAAGTATGTGGTGTTAGTATTTCTTGTTGGTTGGTTGGTACCTTCAGTTACTTATGGATTCTGATAATTCCCCAATTCTAATTCAAGGGCTGAGATTTCCAAAATGTTATACAGGTTTTTCAGTTTATTAGTACTGAAAGAGAAATGTATTAATGCCGAAAATTCCACCTGCAAAAGATTGAACTCGCAGGACTTAAGAATTTCACTCACTGGGTATTTTTACAGGCTGACACATCCCCACAATTGGTCCAGATTGCTGGGACATGGGTGTTTTTATTGAATTTTTTTATCTTTAGACTGGTTGCCAGCCAAGACATCAGATCTCAGTCTGCCTTGCTACTTAACCCACAGCTGGGGGAAGAAGAGATGGATTCATACCTTTCCCAAGGCTATTTGTGCAAAAGTAAACATAACCGACTTAACAGGAAAATTAAACTCAGGTTGCTGATTTCTCCTTCTGATCCGCTAACCATGACTTTAATTACACATCCACTGGAAAAATAGTGGGTCTACATGAATTTTATACTGGTTTAAAACAGAAAACAAAATGAATTTTTATTTTTTAAAGATACTTCTTTTATGTGCCATGTCACTTCAGAATGTAAGTGACTATGGTTCTCCACATCTTCCTATCCTTTGTAGCTCTTAGAAATGTTTGCTTTTTTTACTATCCTTTTCACTCCCTGAGCTGATACCCATTTACTCACTGTTTATCTCTTGTAATTAAAATGTGTATGTCAATCCAAGTAACCTCCAAGTTCTTCACACAGAATTGTCCCATGGGACAATGGCCTAGTGGATAAAAGCATTCATTCATGAATTTTGTGACATAATTATGAGTTCAATCCGTGGACTGAGCAGTGTGTATTTGAATTCAGTTGAAACAAATGAGCAATAACAGAAATAAGAAGATATCCCTAGACATGGGCAGTGGAATAAGAACAGTTTAACCCCCGAAGATTAAATAAGGAATTTGGTTTCAAAATCCCCTGTAGATTTGCTAGATCAACATACACCTGACGAGAGCCAAAAGGAACAATGGCCAAACTGTTGGGATAACAACAACAACAACAACAACAAAGATACAGATAATAGTTCACATTTAAGTAATAAATCCTCATCCCAAAAATTCAGACAGAAATTAAAAGAAAATTGATTACTTATTTCTGAAATAGATTTCTATAAATTAAAATAGCTGCAATTGGCAATGCATGCCATATGGTATAATTAAAGTATTAACCACAACTATTTTCTTCTTTTTTTTCTAATATTCTTTTCTGTTTCTCCTTTGCAGAATTTGAAGATGAAAACTGTAAATAACACATTAACAAAGGAAGTTTCTACTTACAAGCAAATGATATTGACGAAAGACAAAGCCCTTGAAGTAAGTCTCTCCAATTACAACTACGGGATGATCCATTCAGCATTAACTCATTTTTTAAATAAGAAATAATTAAAGTAAAAAAATATTCGTAAATCAAAAGCAAAATTCAACACATTTTTTTATATTGCTTACCTACAAATATGCTTTTTAGATTTATTTATTATCGTATAGGTTTTCAAATTTTCTGATGGATAAGAGTAACTCAGCTCCTTGCAAGGAGATATATATAAGTATTTCTACATTGCAAGCAGTTTATTTGATAAATCCCAGCATCTGAAGTGATGGTGGATCTATTTTTCTTTCTAATTATATCTCCAGTTGTTTTGGAGGTAATGGTAAAGAACCTAGTTTTGGGGATAACTAATTTATTTTCAAATTTTGTAGTGTTCAAGGGTAGGATTATGAATTTTGTTTTATTGATTTTAGAAGTGTCTAATTTTTAAGATTTATGGACATTGTATGCTTGTTTTCTATTATTGGTATAGCAGTAAGTGAAAGAATAAATCTCTAATGCGTTTTCTTTTTAAATTCCAGCAAGCCGGGATGTATTGAAGCTGTATCAGTGGTGTCTAATTTGGGGGATTTGTCTCAATGTTAAAAAACAAGCATATAAAATCCACACTAACAGCATTTCTAACATCTACAACACAAAATTTGAAAATAAATTAGTTATCCCCAACACTAATGTTTTTACCACAACATTCAAGACAACAGGAAATATAATTAGGAAGAAAAATAGATCTAACACCACTTCAGATGCCAGGATTTATCAAATTATATATATATATAAAGGTTAATGGTCAGAGTTTAATCAGACTAGGAAACAGTTTTCCCTTTCCTTTCCATTACACTCAATGTCCTGTCTTTCAATTATCATGAGCCTGTTATTTTTATATTTTTTTTTGGTGGGGGAAAATAATTACATAGAAATCTTTGTGGTTTTTTGAAATAAAGTGTTTAAAAGTATCGTCCAAAGAGACCATCATATTAAAACCATGGTCATGCATTTTAATTGACCTCCTGATTTTTAAATTTTAAAGTTACATATATATATATATATATATATATATATATATATATAGGGTGATTGAAGATAACTCCAAATTTTGTGTATGAGTTGCCAACTGGGAGTCCTGACTTAACACCCTGTAACTTTTTTTCCTTTGGGGTTGGTTAAAGGAGCAAGTCTTCTATAATACCAAACCAAGAATTTGTAAGAACTTGAAGGGTAAATACAAGAATTTATGTCTTCTATACCACAAAATCTTGTGAAATCAGTTGACATGATTCCTGGGCAGCTCAAGAAACTGGTAGTGAAATCTGGTACCCATATCGAATTTTAAATAAAACCTCATGCTAAATGCTTTCATCTCATCTTCATGTCTTGTAAAAATTATAGTTAATAAATAAATTATAAGTATTTACTTTTCATTCACCCTGTATATAATAGTGGCAACAGTCTGAAGATTGTGTTCAAGCATGAAACAGACTGTCGCTGCTTGGTGTTGACCCCAATATCTACTTTTGTAGCCATAAATATAGCATACCTTCAAACTATATTTTTCTATATATTTTTATATATATATATATATATATATATATATATGTGTGTGTGTGTGTTGATTCAAAATTCTTCTGGAACCAAATGCAAAATGAAAATTAACAGACGTTGCGTTTTAAAATTGTTCAAAAAAGTGGGAAAGGGAAGAGATAAGTAGGAGGATATGACTCTAGAAGATGAAATAGTTGTAGTTACCTCTGATATCTTACATGTTATCAAAATAATTATTTAAGCATGCATTCATCAAGTATATATGTGTATCTGGATACACATAGATATATATGTGAGTATGTATACATGTGTGAGAACATATTTTGTGTAAACATATGCATGTAGGTATATATGTGTATGTATGTGTATATGTAAGAATGTGTATGTATGTATATGTATTTGTGTGTATATATATATATATATATATATATATTGATGCATGTTTCATTAAATAATATAGACAAGTTTTGTCTATTTTATGTCAATTCTTTTCATATCGTCTGATAAGCTTAATAACATTATCATTAAAAGAAGAAAGAAAATCACAATACATATTTTTTAATCCTATCTAAGCTTTCAGCTTACATAAGCCATTATCAAAGATGACAATCACATTACAATATATTAAGCAATATACAGACAAAACAATAATGATAGTCTGTTTATGTTTACATGGAAGATTTCCAAGCAACGACAAACTCATGCATATGAAACGCTTGAAGAGAAAATCACATCACAGCTCATGAAGTCACACATGATCATGCAAGAGGGAAAACAAGATGTATTAAGCATGAGAAGCCATTGGTATAAACCAATGGCTTCAGTTATCAATTATAGGCATTTAAGAATATTTGTGGAGATTTCATAGTTTATTTTGTTTGGGTTAGGTTTCAACTGTTTTATGTATATAGCTTCAAGAATTTTTAGTTTTTGTTTATTGTTTTCATGTTTAAGTATAGTTGTGTTTTCAACAAGGATTTTACGGAATTGTGTATGCAGCCAGGCATGTTGTTTTAAATGCCTAAAACTATAAAAATATATAATCACACTATCATAATTTTTTTGTTTTTTTGACAACACCAAAGCTTGATTTGAATATGTATAGATGTTCAGTTCAAGAAAGGAATAAATGTTTCCTAAATTTTGTTTTCAGTCATTATGCATGCTAAATTTTCTTTAAAACATCTTGTTCTAGTTTAAATAATATTCAAAAATTAAAACAAAACCAATTTTATATACTTGATCTTTCACAATCATATAGATATGTTTCTGTATATATAGATAGATATATAGTTTTGACATAGGAATCAACACTGCATCTTGACTGTCAGTTGCACACTTCAGTATGCATTGAAGCATGAAACTGTCAGTCACGATGCAGTGTTAATTCACACTGTCAATATTTAAAAACATTCTGTCTTAGCTATTGAGAACCAATTTGAAGCATAATATTTAATATAAATAAAATTTTATATGCCAAGTTACGTATAAAAAGAAAGGCCATGTTTTTATGTCCTAAAAACATCAAAAACACAGAAATACAATAAATTACAGATGAGCTCTGTGCCCATTGTGAAGTGTGTGATTCAAGGTTTGCTTCTTGAATTCCCTTGTCCTCAGTAGTAGAAGGATGATACTTGTAAGCCTGTGCACTTGTATGTAAATGAGGCAAAGATTTATTTCCAATCTTCCTCCAGTGTCTCAATAAGGTAGAGCAGTCTATGATGTTATTAGAGACAAAGAACACAACAACAATTCTTAGCAAGTATGTTTTCGTCTTTCAATTCAATTTAGCACTCAAATCCCAAAAAGTCTTGTAAAGCAAAGGTGTATTGCTGTGGTGTTTGTTTTTAATACAACCATATACATGTGTATATGTTTCTGCATGCACATATGTATATATGCATACATGTCTGTGTGTCTGTGTATATATATATATATATATATATATATATATATATATGTTTATATATATATTTATAGATATGTGGATAGGTGTGTATGTATATATCACATCATCATTTGATAAGACACCAGAGGTGTTGAAACAAAATGGATATTTTGTAGTGATTTTATAACATATTTATGTTATAATTTTAAATAAATAATTATATATAAAAAATATATATATATATATATATATATATATATATATATATATATATATATATATATATATATATATATGATAAGACAGATAACTTTGTCTGCCAAAATAGACTATTCCCCATATGAGGTGTTTTGGGATTTTATTGTTCATTAATTATTTGGTTTGTAATAATAAATACATCGAGCTCTTTTTGTAGATCAGTTTTAATATTTTATATTACTAGGATTCACTTTGATTATATACCAACAGATTTGTTACCTTATATATATATATATATATATATATATAGTGTGTGTGTGTGCATAAAAGATCTTGAAATGACAATGTTCTTTTAATTTAAATTTTTTTTTTTAGATTATTGTTATATATACAGGGTGTATCAAAAATACTTTTACAATCTTTGCGGGTAGGTTCCTCACACCAAAACAAGGACAATAGTACATATAAACATAGGTCCGCAAATCGTTCATGTTTAAGTTATTAATTTTAAAATTTACAGTAGACACTGTTAAATGTATGATCTAAGATACATATCCAAAAATACTTTGTGGGTGGGTTCTTCATACTAAAACAAGGTAAAATGTTCATATAAATATATGTCGAAAAGGCCATCGTTGTACCTCAACACAGCAACTTATAACAAATGTTCAAAATGTCCTCCACTTGCTTATACACATGCATGTACTCGTCAGATCTTTAACTGGCAGACCCTTTCAAATACTCCCACATGGCATTGAATGGTTTCGTAGATCCCCATGACATGTTGATGAAGTGTCTCTACTGCTGCATAAACCAATTGTTTTAGGTGGCCCCACAGACAAAAATCCAAAGGATTGAGGTCAGAGAAGTATGCAAGCCATGGAACCAGTCCTTTCCTATCTATCTTTCATGGTAGATGTCAGCCAGTGCATCGTGAACAATGTGACTAAATGTGCTTGAGCTCCATTATGTATGAACCACATGCATCTTCATATGAGCAGGAGTACATCCTCCAGCAGCTCTGGAAGTGTATTCGAAATAAAAACACTGTAGACAGCTCCTATAAGACATGCTAGGAAAACATATGGACCTACAAGACAGTCACCTGCAATTCCAGCCCACACATCTCTATCTATAAAAGGCAGGATGTGTGTGTAATGAATGCACAGCCGCAATTTTTGATGGATTTGCACCAAAATTTACGTGCACATGCTCCAAGCTAGCAGGAAGGCCAAGACTGACTTTGCATTTCCCAACTTCCATCGATAGTGGAAATAATTGATTTTTTCATGCTTCTACGGCAGTTTTCATGTAGATTGTGGCCATTTTGTACTGGCCATAGTGAGAACCTATAGCAAACTGCCACGAATGTTAACTAGCATGCTAACATGCAAAAAAAAATCAATAGCTGCATTTGTCACAAGTGGGAAAAATTTAAATCTGCATGGCACTTTACTCCAATTGGCTCATTCGCTTGCTTAAACTCAACGTTGATTCTGATTCCGCAGATTTGAGTTGGGTGTGAAAAAGTATTTGTTGTTAACATTCTCTTTTCATTCTGTTTTTCCAGTTACGAGTCCTTTTTTAAAGCTGATCATTTTGTGTTCATTTTGTTTAGTTCTTTTTTCGTAACAGATTTAATGTTTAGTATAGAGCTTAGAAAAAATTCGCAGTGTGAGATAGGCAAGAAGTAAGGCATGTAGCAACATCAGCACGACAAAGGGCACTCCTTTAAAGGCAAGGAATGGCAAAAATATTTTAAGTCAAGTGATAGCGATTACTGTATGAGTCATATGATATTTGAATCAAGCACAGCACTGCCGGGTCATGCTGCTAGTTAATCATAAACTGTTGCAGGTGTCTAGCCTGTATTCTACCATGGGGATCCCTATCCGTCCATAAATGTTGGTTGTGTAAATTTGTTATTCCATCTCTTCCAAATGTTGCCTCATCCCTAAGCAAGATTGAAGAGTTAAACAGTGGCTTGGCAATTTGTGCAATAAACCATTGGCAAAAGTTGTGTGGTGAGTGATCAAAGGGCAAAGGACCCTGCACATGTTGTAAATGATACGCATACAGGAGCTAGTCTTGAAGTACACTCCATGCGATACTATGAGATGTACAACATGCTAGGGCCACTTGATGTGTGCTGATACCTGGATCGCCTTCAACAGCCTTTAGAATGTGTTTTTATGTAGTCAGGCTTACGAGCGGATCTCGGTCTTCCTTGGCCCATAGTTTATAGTGTCACAGATCCTATCTCTGCAACACAATGATAAACAGCAGCAAAGGTTGGGTGACTTGGCTACAATTGATCTGTAAACAATCTGATACAGCCATGCAACCTCGTGTCCATTACCATTCATGCAGTCTTATGTAAAAATCATATCTACCTGCTCACAATATGAATATCCTGTCATTGTTAAACAGAACACTTTTCAGTTAACTCACTACTGCATACATTAAATGTTGAAGACAGACTAGCCACAAATGTACATGAATGACATATCTAACCTAATCTACATGGCAACACAGTGCCATCTACTGTAAATTTTCTTGAAACTCAATAACGAATAATTTGTGGACATATGTTTATATGGACTTATGTCCTTGTTTTGGTGTGAGGAACCCACTGCCAAAGTTTGTAAAAATATTTTTGATACACCCTATATATATATATATATATATATATATATATATATATAGATAGATATTTGTGTATTTAGGCAGCAATCCTTCTTTCATGCACATTCCATTGAAAACGACAGACAAGGTGCTTTTATTTAGTTTTTTATACAATTTCTCATGCGATCTAATAATTTTTTTCTTTTCGGATGATAAATTATATAAAAACTGTCTGAATGTTCTTTTTATCCAAGCGCTTTTGGCTATACATTTAGCCATTTTTAAGGATTATATTTTAACTGTTAAAAAAGTATATTTATTTTTATCTGCTGGCCTAAATATACATATCCTGATTGCTCCATCTTCACAGATGATCGCCGTCCCACAGATCAACATCTCCTCCCCTGCTCTTTGTTGCCCTTTCTTAAATGGCTACAAAGGTGACTCTTCTAGTGAGCAGTCCAACTTGCATGACTTGAAACATGGATGACAGATAAACTCTAGTAATTGATTGGATCTTGCTGTGATATCTGTTCCTTGTGCACTATCATGTGTCTCTTCAATCCAGCCATAGATTTGCATACCTTGCCACAAATCACACAAACAGTGTCACCTGGTCATGAAGGTGGCACTGCACAAGAAGGCTGTCTCTCATGTGATTCCAGATGCTTAACATATCCAGCTTTAGATAGTAGAATACAATCACATCTCTCTCATTTCCAGCTCACTATGTTAGCATCCAAACTCTTCCCAATGCCTTTCTGCAGACCCTGTTTAAGTTCTTTACTTCAGATGTCTCATAACCCTTTGCAACAGTTCCCTGCTAATCAGTGCAATTTTCCACCATCTCCACCCAATTTTCAACATCCAAACTGATCGCCTTTTAGATTGTTTTTCATACAATCCTTGAACCTCTTCCTTAGCTTATGGACATCTACTAACAGTGAGCTCATCATAAAAAAAAATATATAGTTTTTCAACTGGTTGTGTTTCTTTTTTTTAATTTTAGCTTTCACAGTTAAATTTCTATTTCTGACAAACACAGTTCAACTGGGGTTGATATGACAGACAACCGATATCTTTGTCTGCTGAAAAGGGCTATTCCACATATGAGGTGATTTGGGATTTTATTGTTTATTAATTACATATATATATATATGTGTGTGTGTGTTTGTTTGGGATTGGGTTATTTTTTTTGTTTTTTGCTGTGTAATCTCATATCTTCCAACAAGGAATCTCAAATCAATTACACCAAGTGTGCTAAAGAACTGAATCGTTTGAGGACAGAATTCCGACAACTTGAGGAGCAGACCTTACAACTGAAAATGGAAATGGAATCTTGTGCCAACACCAAAGACAAAGAAAAAATCCAAATTAAGGAACTCTCTGCAGAAGTAAGCAACTATTTTTTTTTTTATTTGCTTTCAGGATTTTCTTTTTTCATGGCCAACAGTTATTGTTTCCCTGTTTCAACCAAATATTTTCATTATTTTTAATCACAGTTTTTTTTACATGTTTCTTGCTTTTGTGAACCACTTATGCCTTAAATTATGCATTAAATAATCCTTGTTATTTGTTTAGCTAAAACTGATCTTCAATTCTTCTATTCAAAAGAAGAGAAAGAACAGAACTGATATGGAAATAAAGAGCTTAAACATCAAATGTTGGATAGAAACCAGGATCAGTTTGTTTTAGCACTAAATATTTCGATAACCTGTCAGGAAACCAGGATCAGTTGTGTGCTAGATTAGCACTGAGTATTTTCAAACCTGTCAGGAAACCAGGATCACAGATTACTGATATATTTCGATAACCTGTCAAAACCAGGATCAGTTGTGTGCTAGATTAGCACTGAGTATATTTCGATAACCTGTCAGGAAACCAGGATCAGTTGTGTGCTAGATTAGCACTGAGTATATTTCGATAACCTGTCAGGAAACCAGGATCAGTTGTGTGCTAATTTAGTATAGAGGATAAAGAAATTGAACAAAAAATAGTCTGTGCCAGGGGTGATTTTCCACCACAATGCAAGTTGCTACAAAACCAAAATGTTAATATAAAAGTTTAAGACATGTTTTGAAATAGTCTCGAGACATTCATATGGATGCTATGCATAGTGCTAAACTCCTTCAGAAATATCTAAACTGTCAGTTGTATACAACCACTTATGCCAATCGATAGTTAAAAATGGTTTTGATCAAGTGAAGCATGTCAGTTTCAGCAAGAACCATTCTTCTTCAAACCTTGTGGACTACCAATACAGAATCACAAAGAACTGTACCAGATAATAGAAATCATATCACTTGAGGACTGCCAACAGTAGCAATAACTAAAATGTATAGCACATGTAACTCAAAGATAAAATAATGACATAATCAAGATGTTGACGTTCCACATGGCTTCACACAAAAGGTTAGGAAGGAAACCATTATCAATACTAAAAGGAATGATAACAGTTACTGGACTTTATCAATCTGATAAATTGTTTAAGAGAATGATTTTTATATAGTTCAACCAACAGCACTACTGGCTGCTCGATCAAGGAAACTGATAATATTACCATTACCAAATGACACTGTGTTGATGGCAGACACAAATCTACAAGTACTCCAAGATATGATAGCAAAGGAAAATAAAAATGCCATTATGATTGCATCTCTCTCTACAGCCATTAGAACTGATTCCCTCTCTTTGGCCACTGGAATTGATTCCCTCTCTTCAGCCATTAGAATGATTTCTTCTGTTCGGTCATTAGAACTGATTCCATCTCTTTGGCCATTAGAACTGATTCCCTCTCTTCGCCTTAGAATTGATTCCATCTCTTCACCCATTAGGACCATGTCCCTGTCTTGAGCTATTAGAGCTATGTCAGTCTTGGGTACTCTGCAACCCCTTACCTTATGTGGTTCTTAACTTTGAACAGGGTGAATTGTAAAAAAATAGATTAGGACCACATCTCTATCGTTGGAAGTTTTCTACTTATTATTCCATCTATTTTTCACTCATTTATTTGCCTTTATTTGATTTTCAGATCATGAACTTGGTTAACAAACACAAAAAAGCAGATGAGGTGAGTCTTATTATATTTCCATCTTGTCAATTAGTAAAGCAGCAGCTTCATGTCACTTCATAAATGTGTTGTCATTACCATTTTGAACAAACATTTCAAAACCAGATTCTTTCAAATCAGGCTGATGTTTTGTTTTTTTGTTTTCTCAAATTACAACATTTATACACATGCACAGATATAAATGTCTTCTATGATGAAATTTAAGATAAAATTTTACTCACTTTATTATTCCCAAATTTTAGTAGCATTGTGCTTTCTTACCTTTGCATCAACAAAAATTCAAACAGATTTTGATTAATTTGAATTAATTACAGAATAAAATTCTATACCAGAGAAAGTTTAGATTTTTTTGGCCTGTGCAAATTGTAATAAAACTAGGTATCTCCACAAAAATTGCAATACTTAAGGTTTAAATTAATTTTTGGAAAATGAAAAAATTTTCTTGAAGCTTTCATTTTAGCTTTAATTGAAAGCTAAAGGATTAAATTTAAGCAAAATACTCTGGTGTATTTCAAACAGAAATTATATTGATTGGAATCAATTTTCATTTCTTTTTTTTCAGTAACTTCAACAAAGTCATCCATTTTTGAGACATTTGTAAACACAAGTTATAATAAACACATTGACTATAAAATTTTGTTTTCATCAAGTTTGGGACCTTTTTCAGCAAAACTGGATGTACCTAAATAAAACTGTTGCTTCACTGTGTTCATTATTAATTCATATTTAGTTATGAAATCTTTTATTTTAATTCTACATATCCTTCAGTATTGTGATACCATTAACGTTTTGCTTTTAATACCTATGTTGGGGATCTGTTAAAATTCTCTAAACAATTATTCACATGAATTCAATTGATAGCATATAAGGGAGAGTTACCAAATAAAGACTCAGACTCAAATGCTGGAGATGAACTGAAAACAAATATTGAATCAGAAATTATATTTGTACAGTTGTATTGATGATATATGTGAAATGTTTTCTTGATTATTTAGTTGACACTTTCACTGTTGCATTGTTATAGCATTGTTGCCTGACTGTACTGGCTCATTTTTGAGAAAAATAGGAAAGTGCCATATGTACTGGAAATAAATGACTATAAACATGCTGTTGGGGATTCTATAGTTATATAATGAAAATATGTCAGAAAACAAGTTATACTGTCTGCTTCTATATGTCTAGGCTGGTTTGGAAATAGTAGTTGTGTGACCGATGTAATTATTTATGAGTTCAGTTTGATCTGGGACCCAGTTCCTTAAATAATAAATATTTTCTACAAAAACCAAATGCATATTAACAACAAACAAAATGAATCTTCACTTAGAAATATTATAAACAAATAGACTACTCCAATGGACCTGAATAAAAAAATCAAATTAATTATCTACTATAAAAAATTTAAGACAGCTAAACTTATCCTCAAAAATAACACACAAGCTAATTCAAAATTGCAATGAACGAATATTATCTATGAGTTCAAATGCCCCCTTCCTGATCAAACCGAACTTATAAATAATTACATCGGTCACACAACTACATACCTATCCAGACTCCTTACGTTACACCTATCCGACCAGAGCTCACACACAAATCTACCAGACCCCATTCAAAACATACTAGTAGAAAACACAAACATAATAACCTCATCCACTTGTAAAAAAAGATTAAAAATAATGGAAGCCCTAATAATAAAAAAGAAAAAGCCAACTCTTAACAGTATTAACTACAAACTAGGCCACAATTTGCTAACTGTGTTTGGAAAATAAAAACATCTCTATAACACACTAAAACATACACATAATGCACACACTCAATTAAACTGAAAAAATAAAATCATCCGTGATAATGGCTAAAAGTATAGCCGAAAGCGCTTGGAACTATAGAACATTTGGACAGTTTCTACACACTTTCAAAAAGAAAGCTCTTGTGCGAACACAAGAAAATTAAATAAAAAGCTTAACTGTAGTACCTTGTCTGTCATTTTAATGAAACATGCATAAATGAAGGATTTCTTCCTAAATACACATATATATATATATATATATATATATATATATATATATATATATATATAATTAAAAAAAAAAAAGGTGCGTTGGTAGAACCAACAGACAACTTGCCAAAACCTAAAACTTTTATCCAGTACAGTCCCATACTGAAAAAAGTAAGGGAAAAAAGGCCTAAAAGCAAACTTGCCTACTCAGCAAAGTGCTCAGAGACCAGATTGTCTAGACTGAGAAAAAAACACTTACCACTGTTATATCCTATAAGAGGATGGTTCTAGTCATAACTCGAGTTTCAAACACACGCAATCTTCACACAATATATAATAAAATGGCCTGAAGATTGCGTTTAAGCATGAAAGAGACTATCAACTGAGTATTAACCTCAATATTAACATATACTAGGTGTAACAGCAGAATTGTCCAAATCATGTAACAGCATAATTATCCATCCCACAAAATGTTTAATATGTAAAAAAACCAGTAAACTAATTGAGTTTATATATATAATCATTATCAGGCAATGTAAAAATATATCAGAATTGGAAGTGTTAAAAATAAAAAATAAAGCCTTACAGAAATTTCTACCAAATAACTTCTAACAGTCACTTATCTGGACTACTTTAGAATGTTGTCTTTTAAGATGACCTCAGTAAGCATTCTTGAGTTGTTTTTTTTTTTGTTTTCTACCTGAGTAGTTATTTTCTAGGTGTAGCTTAGATGTGGCACAAGGCCGAAAGTAGGGGGCACCCAGTGAGGATTGAACTCACTACTCATTCATAATTGTTCTAGCGAAACAAGCTTGTTAACCATTAAACTGCCTCGAGGTGTCCTTTTTCTACCTGAGTATAATAATGTTTAAAAAATATAATTTAAAAGAAAAAACCCTCATGTACTCTATGCTATTAATAAAGAAACATTACTTGAACATTATAACTGACCTCTACTAAAATATGATAAAAATAATAATAATAATAATGCTATTTTATCTTATGTCAGGATAAACTGTCTTTCCTGCACAGTGTCTACCAACGTCTCTTGGCTGGACTAACAGTCCTTTTTTTTTTTTATCCCCTTTTGAGTGTTTTGCAACTCATGGGTGAAATTTTATGAAAATTGTGGTTTGATCTGACCCTCCTTATCAATGAACAGATCATCCTCAGTATCTCTATAATATTGATTGCTCTTTCTTTATTTCTATAATATTGATTGCAATTTCCATTTCTATAATATTGATTGTCCCTTTCTTCAGCAGAGATCGAAAAATCATTTCATTTCTATATATCATTTCTTTTCTTCATTTCAATAATATTGATCATTTCTTTTCTTTATTTCTAGTTTGGGAGACCATAATATTGATTGCCCTTCTTCACAGTAGTTTTTTTTCTTTTTAATATCCCTTTTTTCTATAATATTGAGTGTTTTGCATTCATAATATAGAAATAGTTTTCTTTATTTCAAATTTTATTTCTTTCTTTATCTTAAAATTGATTGCCCTTCTTTATTTCTATAATAGGATAAATACATGACTGATAATATTATCATCCTTTCTTTATTTCATAATATTGATTTTCATCCCAAAATATAGATCGTCCCTTTCTTCATTTCTATAATATAGATCGTCCCTTTCTTCATTTCTATAATATTGATCATTTCTTTTTCATTTCTTCATTTCTATAATATATTGATTTCGTCCTTTCCCTTCATTTCTCATCCTTTCTTTTATATAATATATTGATCGTCCCTTTCTTCATTTCTATAATATAGATCGTCCCTTTCTTCATTTCTATAATATTAATCATCTCTTTCTTTATCTCTATAATATTGATTGCCCTTCTTTATTTCCATAATATTGATTGCCCTTCTTCATTTCCATAATATAGATCGTCCCTTTCTTCATTTCTATAATATTAATCATCCTTTCTTTATTTCTATAATATTATAGATTGATAGATCGTTTTCTTCATTTATTTCTATAATATTGATCATTTCCCTTTATTTCTTAATATTGATTTCTTTATTTCATAATATTGATTGCCCTTTCTTTATTTTCTATAATATTGATTTCTTCATTTCCATAAATAGATCGTCCCTTTCTTCATTTCCATTGATCGCCCTTCTTCATTTCCATAATATAGATCGTCGCTCTCTTCATTTCTATAATATTGATCATCCCTTCTTTATTTCTATAATATTGATTGCCCTTCTTCATTTCTTCATTTCTATAATATTAATCATCCTTTCTTTATTTCTATAATATTGATTGCCCTTCTTCATTTCCAAAATATAGATCGTCCCTTTCTTCATTTCTATAATATTGATCATTTCTTTCTTCATTTCAATAATATTGATCATTTCTTTCTTTATTTCTATAATATTGATTGCCCTTCTTTATTTCCATAATATTGATCGCCCTTCTTCATTTCCAAAATATAGATCATCTCTTTCTTCATTTCTATAATATGGATTGTCCCTTTCTTCATTTCTATAATATTGATCATCTCTTTCTTTATTTTTATTGATTTCTATAATATATATTACCCTTTTTTATTTCTATAATATCATAATATCGATCATTTCTATAATATTGATCGCCTTTATTTCTTCATTTCATTTCCATAATATAGATTGTCCCTTTCTTCATTCTATAATATTGATCATCTCTTTCTTTATTTCTATAATATTGATTACCCTTTTTTATTTCCATAATATCAATCACCCTTCTTCATTTCCATAATATAGATTGTTGCATTTCTTCAAATTCTATAATATAGATCATCCATTTCCTCAAATTCTATAATATAGATCGTCCCTTTCTTCATTCCTATAATATAAATCATCCTTTCTTCAAATTCGATAATATAGATTGTCCTTTCTCCATTCCTATAATATAGATCACCCTTTTCTTCATTCCTATAATATAGATTGTCTCTTTCTTCATTCCTGTGATATAGTGCTAAATTGCTATTTGATATCAAATAGCAGATGAAGAGAAAACTAAATTGCTATTTGATATCAAATAGCAGATGAAGAGAAAACTGGAGACAGTACAGAAGGAAACTCAGAATTCTATGGATGGTGCATGTAAGCAACAAGGAAGTATTAAAAAAAATGTTTAAAAAAGATGCTTATACTCAATCAGGAAGATACGCTTGAAATTTCTTGAAAAGATAATGAGGAAAGAGGTCTTGGAGAACTTGACCCTTGCAGGGTATACAAAGGGCAAGAGACAGAAGTCAGCAGGCCACCTGGCTGAATGAGCTTGTGTGAAAGGAGGGAGGAACAGGAGTCAGGAGGCTTAGCAAACAGAGAAATACTGTTCAGGGCCACAAGAGATAAGAAACTGTGAAGAGCCATGATTGTTCACAGCCTGAAGTGACACAAAATATAGAAGGAGATATCTGTAAAACAATAATAGAATGTGTTTCACCAAAACAAAATGGTCGCACTTCTTTTTTCAAGAGATTTTAATAGTAACACATAAAAGTAATTGTTCACTTTGTTCCTACTTTGAGTTTCACAGAGATGTCTCTATTCATCAGCACGCCTGAGAGTAAGAAATTGTATTTATTTCTTTCAAAAGAAAAAGAAATGAAGGATGGTCAAAGGTTCTTGGCTTGATAAGAGCATCCCAAATAAATTCTGATATTTGTATGTTTTGAAAAATTGGACCAAGAATTTTTCAGCACCCCATTGGATATATATGTATAAAGGAAAAAAGACAATAAGAAAACTGTACTTTTAGCCTACACGTCTCATGCAATGTGGACTTTTTCCAGACAAAAGAACGAAATGAATTTATTGTAACACAGTATCTATAAACAATAAACAAAATGTCGTTAACAACTAGAAGAATTTAGAAATGCTATTGTATATTCATATGGCCAAATGAAAAAATTATGTCATTTACTTTATGTTTGAAAAGAATATTTTCACATGTAGAAATGTTGTTTATATTGTCGTGATGATGGATTCAACTGTTTCCTTTTGATTTCTTGATATATTTCTTGTATACAGTGGCGTGGGAGAGTAGTGATTCTGTTAGGAAAGGTGATATTAGGAAAAAACCTGGACATAGATTAATATTTCAATAATATTCAATGGCAGCACTCTTGAGGATTTTACTTCTGAATGAATTATTTCTTTTTTTTTATGAGTAGCATTTATAAAATCTAAATTATGGTTGAATATTTCTACATGTGAAAATTTAAATCATTTTTTTTTAATTCTTAAAACCTCAAAATGAAGTAAATTTAATAATAGCTCCTTGGGGATCCATTTAATGTCAGGAAAATATTTCTTATATTAAATCTATAGCTTCATTTATAATCATGTAAGTTTTTTTTTGTTTTTTATGATTATAGAAGCTCTAGATATAAAATAAATATATATATATATATATATATATATATATATATATATATATATATATATATATATCTTCCATCACCGAATATCAAACTTACTATCCTCTGTAAATGTCTTTTAGCTTTCACCACTTTGATCCCCTTGGTAATATTACTACACAGACTTGCAGCATCACATTGCATTTAATGTTTTTTTTTTTTTTTTTAGATTGTAGTTGACAGGAAAGCAAGAAGGTGGAATAATGTTCCACAATTGAGAAACATGAAAGAAAAAACCTAGTAGAATAGAACTTACAGTTCCATATAGAAATTAAAATTACTACCTCCCTATATAAAAAAACAACTATAAATTCTATTGTCCACACAAATATAAGTTAAAGAAAACTGGATAAAGAGGACTCTTCTAATTTCCTCTTTGATCAGAAACCAGAAAAAAATATTCTAATATCACCTCTGATCACAGCACACAGTGAATGTAAAATCTATGAAGAAATCTCAAACCTGTATGAAATCTTTCATGAATAATCACAAAGACAGACAAATGTGAGTGATCTTCTCATAAAAAAGTAACTCCTGATTTTATTCCTTCCAAACTCCTTTCTTCATGTATGCACCTGTGTGTGAATTATGCCTCAGTCTGTACCACATGCCCACCTTCCCCATATCTTAAAATCCCTGATAAAAAAAAAAATAATAGTTACAAAAGAATGAAAAAATAAAAAAGGAAATAAAAAACCTTGTCTATTTACTCCTAGGTGGTCCTGGCCAAGCTCCAAATTGGACATACGAATCTTGCACATCTACTTAAAAATAAACCACCTCCAACATGCAACAAATGGCAATTTGTCCTATAAACACATATAGGCAGTAAAGAACTTAACCAAACTCAGTTAAAACTATCAGATACAGAACATAAAAGACCTCTTCAAAACCACAAGCCTCAAAAACATTTTGAATTTTTCTAAAATAAATAAACTATTCTATCAAAATTTAAAAGCAAAAGAGAACTTACCACTCACATAATACAAATAGCAAAATCATCTCTTTGATTTGCCTTTCAAGCAGGACAAAATGCAAATACAACCAACTTAAATTGGCCCTGAATAACCCACTAGTGGTTAAAGGTCTGTTGAATAAACAAAATTTATTTACTCCTAACTACACTGGAACAGTTTTCTTTGATTCCTTTTTATAATTCCTCATCCGTAGTTGTTGCTGCTTTTCTGAGACGTCACAGTTTGAATCCTTCACATTTTGGCTTCACTTCCTAACAGATTTTAACTATCTTTTGTTTATGTCCAGAATATCATGGTGTACACCATCAACTGAAATGTAATTTCTGTAATAGATTTTTATCACTTTTGCTTTCTATCCTATTGGCTTATGGAACTGCACCTATGAGCATCCAAAACTGTTCCAACTAGAAGGGCAACAAAACTGATGCACTTAGGAGGTGCACCAAAACATATACATCTAGGGGATGCCCTAAAATTTCTTCCCCAATTTCAGCAGGTTCTAGTCTATGCCCATCTCTAACAACTGCTATCAGTACCCTGCTTCCATTCATATCTGAACACTGATCTCTGAGTCCCTGACTCCTTTGCCAGTCCAAATTTTGGCAACACATTGTACAAGAAAAACTGACTTTTTCAATTGGTGAGATATTTTTTTGAAATGGTATTCTGATCATCTGATGATATTGTTTGAGGAGCCCATTACCATGCAATCTGTATGCAACCTCAACATTTCCCATGTAAAATCAAGTATTAGTTATTAAACATAAAAATCCAGAATTATAGGCCTCTAAAGAATCCAGTATTATTTTTTTCTTTTTTTCATCCTAAGCAAGGCAGGAATGCTACTGGTATGCAGGGGGTTAGAGAGAGTGAAAGTGAGTGAAAAGACTGGGTATAGGGGGTACCGAGGAAAGGATAAAATCTGAATGGGGTTCAAGAAGATAGTGATTCACATTGCATTTACATTTTTGAAAATTGTAGTTATTAGGGAATCAAGGAAACAGAAAGGACTTCCACAGGCAGGAAGTGTGAGAAAAGAAACTGTTGGAGTAGAAGCAGCAGTTACTTTTAACTAATTCAACTGTAAAACAGTGGGACCTAGATGCCAATCTAGTAGCATGCTTAAATTCATGTAGTCTGGGTACCAGAAACATTTTCTTTTCTTTTTTACCCTGCTGTTACTGGCCACTCATTCATGATTCTAGGGACAGGCCCCACTCCATACTGCCTGTATCCACCTCTTTCTCTTAACGTAGTAGAATATCAGTTAAACATGGTATAGTCTAAAAGTTCTGTGGGCTGCCGATCAACTTTCCAAATAAGTTATCTGAATGTCTATTCTTTGATATAACTTAAATGAAAGTCTACCCCAGGACTGATCTTCTTTTTGTAAAGTCCTTTTAAAGGCATGTCTCTACCATTTTTAACTCTTTGTTGAATTTCTAATAGTCAGTATTAGTTATAAAATTGAAAATAAAAATCTGTCATTAGATATCAGTTGACAAAAAATCTGGAATTAATGATAGATTTAAGATGTGGACAAGTTGATTGTGTTCAGTTGTGTTACTAAAAATGTCACTTTGAAATACAGAAAGGAAAACAGAAGCAACAGCAATAATGTTTGAGATGTTTATTTGTTTATTTGTATAAACTAACAATTTCATTATTATTGAAAATGTAGGGCATGTCATTCTTTTTTCTGATTGTCAAATATTTATTTATATGCTTACATAAAAAACAAAAAAAAAAACTATCTAAACAAATTCAAACATAAAGTTAATTTTGAAAAACAGATGAGTCATTTTTGACTGGCCTCACATGATATAATTTTTTTTTTAATTTCAACAAAATTCTTGTTTATATACAAGGTAATCAAAAAAGTTCTGTCTGTTTTTTAAAGGAAAATAAGAAAACGCTTCACAGTATGTGTAACTTATATTTAGTCTTTGAAGTAATCGCCATCGGCATCCAGCACCTTCTGCCAACGTGTCTCCAGCTATTCAATGCCCTTGTGGTAGAACTCAGGGGGTTTTGACGCAAAGAAATCCATGAGGGCTTTGTGCAAGTCTGCTTCATTGGTGAAGGTTTTCCCATGAAGATGATTATCCAGGGAGTGGAAGAGGTGGCAATTGGATGGCACATGGTCAGGTGAATAAGGTGGATGGCACAAAGTCTCCCACCCAAGTTGCTGTATGGTATCCCTGACCACTTGCGTGGCATGCAGCCTGGTGTTGTCATGGAGGAAAAGCACACCTTTGTGATTCACCAGTGCTGGCTCCTTCTGGCACAATGCCTGTTGCACACATTTCAATTGCTGTGAGTATAAGTCTCCAGTGACCGTTTGGCCCGTTGGTATATATAGAACCCACTTTTCATCACTGATAAGCACTCGATTGAATAAGGATGCGGTACAGTGGCGAGAAAGCAGCGATATGCAGACTGCCACTGTTGTCCCTTGTGGATCTCAAACAGCGTTTGTGGAACCCACTTGCTCAGTTTGTACGTCTTACCTAGGCAGTGCAGGTGAAGTTTAACTGTTTCATCGGAAACGTTGAACTGTCTTGCAAGTTCACCACATGTTAGATTACTGTCCTCTTCAATGGCCGCCTTCAGGACTCCATCATTCAAGACCTGTGGTCGTCCACTGCGAGGCTCATCATGGAGAGACAAATCTCCTGACTTGAATTTTGGAAACCAACACCGTACAGTACGTTCATCCACAGCACTATCCCCAAATGCTTGACATATGCGCCGACTTGATGCAGCTGATGATAAGCCCACTTTGAAGTCGTAAAGCAAACAGCCCCGAACGAGATCTCTAGACACTTCCATCCTTCTCACAGCTGTCTGGCTTATAACTGATGGCCGGGCATGGTGCACTTGTTTTTTATAATGTCTGATGTTCCTACTTCTGGCTGTCCAAATTTGAAAACAATTGCTACACGCATTTTTGTATATATTTCAACTTCAGAACTTTTTTGGTTACCTTGTATTTATATATAAAAACGAAATTTATTTTGGTGGTGGACACAAAATTTATGCAAGACTAAATCATAAAGTAAAGGCAATTTCCATACAACACCTTTTATTTTCACTAATAAAAAACAAATGTATGTCCAATGACAGTCCCCCTGCACAGTTATGCACTTGGCATCATTTGACAAGCTTCTTCATCCCTTCTGAAAAGAATCTTTTCAGTTATTGATGAAATCACATCTGCAGTACTTGTTTATTTTGGCCTCCAACACACACAAACTTTACAGTACCCCCAAATCATCATGCACTATGGCTCGTGCAGATTCATAGCTGATGTCCACTATTGTCGCCTCTTGTGCTAACATCATTTGTCCACCTTCCCTGATCAAGGCATCCATCCACTGGATGTGTGCTTCAGTACACAATGCTGATGGATGAACAGACCAGCTTTTGTCCATTTCACTTGTTTTTCTCTATTTAAAGTGTTCTATCCACTCATACGCAGTTCATTGATTCATGGCGTGTGCTTCATCCAGCACCAACATCTGGCGATGAATTTGCACAAGTTTATCTGCCTCTAACTACAGAAAGGGACACATCACCTTGTTCCTCAATGATGTAATCAGTGAGTGGAGCATCCATATGTCTGAACTCATTGCTTCCTGCCACTCAACTAAACAATGGAATGCTGCACATGGCTAGCTACCCATCATCTCATGCGCATGCATGGTGCCAAGCATCAGCACCTCCCTGTTGTTTTTACTGCAAAATTTCAAAATTGCCTTTACTTTCTGATTTACTTGTATATAGGTGCATATATTTTCAGTCAGTTTATCTTTCTTGTCAGATTCACAGCCTTGAAGAGACACTGTACAGTAAAGAGAATTCATCCAGCAACATGCAACAGTCATATGAAGGACAGATGAGTCGAATGATGAATTTGTCTAAAGATAGAGAGGCTTCCTGGCGCAAGCAGAAAAAAGAGATTGAAACTCACTATGAACAGAGACTGGCAGAATTACAGGAGCAATTCAAAGTATTCACCAAATTAAAAAAACAAATTATATCTACTTAATGTCTATACATTTTCATTACTCTATAACCTGTGTTCACAAATTTAAATTGTCATGTCACGTCCCCTAATCAGTTAGGGTCATAAGGGTACTACATGTATTACAGCCATAGCAGCAGTGGTGTGTCTAGTGCAAGATAACCTGACGGATCCCCTCCCTCTTCAGGCTGATTTTGAATTCATTTTTCTTTCCCCTAAACTCCTGCTACCCATGTCTCAAAAGCACTGACTATTTAGCCCATAGCTTGGAGAAGAAGAAATGTATTTCTTCTTTTCTCTAAGGCATTTTTGAGAAAGATCCCAACTTCCCCACTAATGATTGATAGACTATATATACTTGAATCATCACATGGTATCACATCATGAGTCCCATAACCCATTAGGGTCCTAACCCTCACCACAAATACCACAGCCGTAGGAGTGGTGATGTGTCTTTGATAAGAGCCTGTTGGATTTTGTCCCTCTTCAGGCTGGTTTCAGAATTTTGCTTCTCCTTGACTGGTTGCCATCACAAGGCAAGAGAGATCAGACTGCCTTGATATTTAACCCATAGCTGGAGGAATGTGGGTTCATGTCTTTTCCAAGGGCATTGACAGAAGTGAGAGGGAATTGAATTCACTTTCTACACCTCTAATCATTACACTGGCAACCACTCCCAGATGGAGTACGTCTATATTTGAATTTAGAAAGCTATTTTCAAAATGAGAGCATTTCTGTACATTTTTGGAAACTAGATATACTTTCATCATTTAAAAGAAGAAAATAAAACTAAAAATGACTTGCATTTCAAATGTTCTTATTTTACTTGTGAATAATTTGAAAATTCGTTCATACATAAGTTATCTTCAGATAGAAAATTTCATTTCTTTCTGTGTCTTTTATTTTTTGTTTTATTTTTAAATTTTTGAGAAAGAGGAGAATATAATGTGTGTGTGTATATATATATATATATATATATATATATATATATATATATATATATATATAATCATAGGACTTGAATATTCTGTCCATTTTCATTGTTGGTTAACGCAGGAACAATAACAAGTAGGCTGATTGTGCATATCTTGAGGATGACAAAAGTGCTTAACTATCATTTTAATTATTACTTTCAGAATATCAAAAGAATATAACCAACATTAAGAAATAATGGTTCATTGCATTTAACAAAACATATCTACAAAGAGAGCATAGATAGATATGTTGATCTTGGCCTGATTACAAAAGATATTCAGTTTTAGTTTGTATGTAACATCTACCGGAAGGTTGTTCTATCTTGTGCTGGATTTGCTAGTCATCTTTGCATGAAAATCATTAGTCTAATGCTGACTATATGGATGTCCTTCCTGACAGACCTGCAGGGTACTTATATCAATTTTGTGATAAAATTTGCAGGTCTGCCATGGCAAGTGCAAGTACACAAGGAGAAAGTCACTCTTCAAAAATCTTTTTTGTGTCACATATGTAAAAAGATAATCAGAAACAAGGCTGATTTTGCAAAGTCATCTAACAGCCCATAACTGCTTGACTTAACATTGAAGAGATGGTCTACTTCTGTAAAGAAGTAGCAGTTATCACACACACACACACACACATATATATATATATATATATATATATATAATGGTTGACTAAGCAGTCTTTGTAATTGCAGTGCTCAATATCGAGATATACAACATTAATAAAAATAATAACTAAAATATTTTTTTATGCTCTACTGGACTTGTGACTAAGTGGTAAGAATGTTCACTTTCTGAATATGAGACCAGGAATAAATATTCATCAGAAATAAACTGTGCTTCTTATTCTGTAACCCTCAGATTGAGGAATTGAAGAGCCGAGTTCAAATTCCAGTTGAATTCATTACATTCACTTATGTGCTAATACCCTTGGGAAAGGTATGAATCATCTTCTTTTCCCCACCATCTATGTGTAAGTAGCAGGACAGACCAGGTTCTATAGCCTTGGATGGCAACTAGACTACCACAAAAAGAAATGGCAACCTACTGCAAGAAAAAATCTGCCTTGTCAGTCATGTATCGAAAGATACATGATCACCTAAGTGTGTATCACGCATAGCAGATAACTGACTGTGCCTCAAATGGCTCCATGGGCTTGTACTGTATTAATGTCACTGCTAAAAAAAAAATGTAACTAAGGTCTGCTCAGCATAGTTGCAGTATAAAGTACAGGTGGGCTCTGTGAGTGTTGAATGAAGACAAATTTGCCTGAGCAGGTGTCTGGGAAAGGGATTGACTAAATGCCTAAGCAGACAGATGTTCTCGAAAAACGAGAGTAGCCATCAGTTATAAACATAAATATATATAAAAAAAAAACAAATGGCTGTAAATCATTTCTAGTAACATATTCATATGCAATCAATATATGATTAGCAAGTTTGTGATAAATTTTATGAATCTTTAAATATTCATCAAAATCCTTTTTAGAATATATTGATAACCAGAATCAATTATAGTTTTATAAGGTAAATTTCCAAAATGAGAAATTGTTTAAGAAAATGTAAACAGTACAATAAATACAAGATAAAAAAAGAAATTTTAAAATGTCTTAAAAAGCTGTAGGATTTTTTTTTATAAATTTGAGGCAAATATTCAACCAAGCAAATCTACCTACAAGATAAATAAAACTACAAAAATGTAAAAAGTTTTAAAAAAAAAAAAAAAAAGAATATAGATTTTTTGTTAATTTCTTCATCATCCCCATGACTTTTGTAATTGTAAGGAGTATCCAAATGCAGAAGCCATATTGAATCTCCTTCACAATGGTCTATCAGTGGCAGCCATCAGCAATTCTGGTATAGTCATACTTTTCTATTGTTTGACATTGTCCAACCAGTTTTTGCATTGGCGTCCTCTTCTACATCCATCTTGAACGGTGCCCTGCACAAGATGTTGTGCCTTTTAACTTGTACAAATCCTGTCATTTTTATCTGTTTGACAGTGGCAAGAAGAGGTTCCTGGTGGCCCACAAGACTTTCAACCCTTTTCCACACACTCATTAGTTTTATGTTCCCAATAGAAAATGCCAAGGAGTTTTTTCATGCATTTGTTCTCAAACACTTGGATCCTTCTCTCTGTTTCTGCTAACAGTGTCCACATAGGAGAATGAAGACTACCAATGAATTGTAGTCTGTACTTTTTTTGAAAGCTGATTTTTCTCCTCCATATTCTTGCCAATTTGGCCATTGTTGTGGCAATCCGTGTGCAAATTTCTGAGTGGCAGGTACCATCTTTAGATCAGATTGCTCCTAAGTATTTAAAACTGGAATCTTCCTCCAGTGAATTTCCATTCATGGTAATGTTGACATGACATAGGTGTTACTGTTTGTGTCATTCACCATTACTTTAGATTTCTTGGAGCTGACCTCCATTCCATATACTTGCGCACTTTCAACAAGTTTGTAGGCCATATCCTGGAGCTCACTGTTACTACTTGCTATGAGGTCAATGTCATCTGCAAAATGTAAGTTACAGATGGGTCTGCCACCAATAGAGATTGAAGGATCATGGTCGTTCAGGGTTTCTTGCATGATTCTCTCTAGAAATAGATTGAATAACATGCATAAAAGTACACATCCCTGTCTCATGCTTTGTTTTGTTTACTACTAGTCAGTTTGTTTTTATTATTTATCTTTCAAATATTTTAAAAACAATAATACTACTAATAATAAAATGTTCTCATATATTTGACGATAAATTTATTCTTTTCTTGTTTATCTATTTCTATTATTATTATTTTAATTTCTTCATGAATCATGAAAATCCATTTTGAATGCAATAATTCATGATAATGTTAAAATTCATCACCATTTACTTATTTAAATTCAACAGGATTTACATTAAGCTGCCTTAAAATTACCTGTAGAAAAATGATATTTACAAAAAGTTTTAATTTTATATTTTTAAACTGACTATATTTCCTGCGTGCTAAGATGCTACATGTGGTAAGATGCACTTTATAATTAGCTAATTATTTTTGGAGAAAAAAAATTTGAGGATTTAACAGCTTACTGTACTAGCAAATCCAAATTACTGACTATGGTGTTATTTTTCTTTCTATGACAACAAATTATCACATTTTGAACTTATTATTAAATATCTATGGTTATTATTAATTAGATTTTAAATAGTTTAGCAAAAGGTTATACTTATTCACATCAGAAACAACTTACAATTGACAAGCTACAAGGAATCTCAACACATGATGTGTTTACATCCAACTCACAGCAGATGTTTCAGGGCTGCATCCAAGAGCACAAATGACAGTGAGTTGTTTTTGCATTATCACTACCACAGTCCGCTGTTATTGTATGAATATATTATCGACAGTCCATTACAATATTATTTGTATTATTACAGTAATTAACATTACCTCTCTAGAACTTGACCTTTCCGTGTGATGCAGTATGATTTTTGAGGGCATTTTTCACAAAAATATGTGTCTAAGCATATGGGAAATGTGGTAGTTAATTGTTATATATCTTTTTCTTCTTTATCATCAAGAAAGAAAAATTTTATTGCTCCTGAGATTTTAAATTAGATAAGTATCATTTTAAAAAAATATTTCAAAATTTTTTCTTTGCAGAAAAAGCTTACTGCTTCTGAAGAGTTTACTAATAAAGTTCAATCTTCAAACAACACAAACTTTGGCCTGGAAGCAAAACATGAAGAACTTCAAAAGAAACTGACCCTTGCAACCTCTCAACATTCACGTTTGCAGATTGTCTGCTCATTACTGTGTGGTGCTCTCTACCCTCTTTATCTTCGTTCTCACCAGCTTATCTCTGAGCGCCACCTATTGGAAGATATAGTCGATCAAGGAGAGACAACTATGGACCAGTTACGTCTCCTGATTGAAACTCTGAATGAAGAGATGCAAAGCTGTGGCAGCAGAAGTTTCAATGATTGTAACTCTGGGCTCATCTTGTCCGGAGGCAAGATGAAAGATCTAAAGTTGTCTCCAGTGATGCGCTTCCGAAAGTACACTATTATGATTTTAGCTGCTAATAGACTGTGTTTCTTGAGTAGGACAAGCAAAAGGCTTTTCTCTACTTACGATGTTGCACTTGGCCCAATATCTCTGATTGTGCAGACAATGATAATCACATCTGAACCAAAAGCATTTGCAGGTAACTGTCTTCATTCTCTTGTTGTCCCTTATTATTTATTTGGTCAGTCAGTTCATGTGTAGATGTATCATACATATGGAATTAAAAAAAAAGGAAAGATAGTAAAGATGGAGCAAAGAGAACATGAAGCATCGTCTTAATTATGAGCTTTCCTATTTGAATTTTCTGACGTATCATAAATATTTAATGACTAAATAAGATCCTTGCTATTAGGTTGGTGCAAAAATAATGTCGTTTTTTGACGTTCAATTTCAAAAGATCATAACACCTTTCATAATAAACTTTATTAATCAAAATAAGAACCATTAGAATTGACACATTTTTGCCAACGAGAAACAAGTTCATTTATCCCATTAGCATAGAAATCCGGAGTTCTGGAAACGATGAAGTCATTGAAGGTCGATTCGGCATCCTCTCGGCTTTTGAAGCATTTTTTGCGCAGGAAGTTGTCGAGATGCTTGAAAAAGTGATAATCAGTGTGCGAGATGTCCGGTGAATATGGCGGATGAGGCAGAGTCTTGTAGCCCAATTCGTTTAGCTTCTGCAGGGTTAGTTGAGCAACATGCGGGTGAGCGTTGTCATGGAGGAGAATTGGTCCCTTCATATTGACCAATCTCGGGCACATACGTTGGAGCTTCTGGTGCATTTCGTCAATTTGTCGGCAGTACTTATCTGCTGTAATCGTTTTGCCCAGATTCAAGAAGCTGTGATGGATGAGACCGGCCGCAGATCACCAAACAGTCACCATAACCTTTTTTTGGTGCAATTTCGGCTTTGGGAAGTGTTGTGGAGCTTCTCCGGACTCCAACCACTCTGCCGAACGTCGCCAGTTGTCATAGAGGATCCACTTCTCATCACACGTCACAATCCGCTCAAGAAATGGGTCATTTTTGTTGCGCAGAAGGAGCATAGAAGACACCTCAAAACGACGATTTTTTTGATTATCGTTCAATTCATGCGGCACCCATTTATCCAACTTTTTTTGACTTCCCTATTTGCTTTAAATGGCGAACGACTGTTGAGTGGTCGACATCGAGTTCAACAGCAACTTCTCGTGGTTTTGCGAGGATCGGCTTCAATTAAGGCTTTCAAATGTTCGTTATCAACCACGGTCGGCCGGCCACAGTCGGCCGGCCACGGTCGGCCGGCCACGGCCATCTTCATCTTCGAGGCTCTCGCCACCAAATTTCTTGAAACACCGTTGTGCCACACATTCGTTAGTGGTTCCTGGACCAAATGCATCATTGATATCAAGAGCTGTCTCAGCAGCTTTTCGGCCTAGTTTGAACTGGAACAAGAAAATTCTGCAGATTTGAATTTTGTCCATGCTGTCAAAAAGCCTGCAAATGAAGAGATTGAGAACGGTAACAAATAACACGATTCGACAGAGCAAAAATGCGCCTCAAAATGATATATAACATAGCTATATATATCAATGAATTAATTCAGAAATCATATATAAAAGTAACATATGTGAGAAAACGACATTATTTTTGCATCAACCTAATAGTTCTACAGTTACAAAATACTTGTGAAAAGTCTCCTATTGTATCATGTTGAAACACCAGTTCTCATAAAATCACTGAGGTTAAGCAATGTTGAATCTGGCCAATGGGCAACCACCTGGGAATACCAGGTGCTGTGAGGTAATAGATGATGGCCTGAAATTAATTCCAGTTGAATCTGTTACATTTACTTGCATGCAAATACACTTGGGAAAGGCATGAATCCAACTCTTGTTCCTATTTTGTAGGCTTACAGCCACATCACATTGAAACACTGATTCCCATACGATCACTGAGGTTAAGCAATGTAGGGCCTGGTCAGTACCTAGATTGGTGACCACTTAGGAATACCAAGTGCTGTAAGCTTAGATGTGTAAGTGATGTAATGGATAACAGCTTGCAATTAAAAATTAGAGATCTGAGTTCAAATTCTAGTTGAGTTTGCTACATTCACTTACACACAAATACCATTGAGAAAGATATGAATCAGTCTCTTCCCTCCAGCAATGGGTTGAAAAGAAGGACAGACTGGGTACTATAGCCTTTGTTGGCAACTAGTCTACAACAGGAAGAGATGACAAACCTACTGCAGGAAAACCTTCTGCCTATTCAGTCATGAATCGATAGAGACATGATCGACCAAGCATATATTATGCATGGCTGAACTGACTGAAGGAAGTACAAATGAAAAGCTTTAAAATTGATAAGTTTTCCATTTCACTAAAGCAAACATTGAGCACAAGAGATCATTACCTCTATTTTCCCTTTCATTCTTTTTCTCACTGAAAACAGTTTCTCTGATATTTTTTTTTTGTCATAAATGAAATGGTCCATTATTTATACAGAGCAAGAGTATAAACATACATGCAAATTAAGGAATGAAAGAACAAGCAAAATGAGATGATTGTCATAAAAAGAAATAGTGTAAAAAAAAAAACAAGGAGGAGGCATGGTGGTGTAATGGATAGCGGCTTGGATTGAGAAATCAGAGAGCCAAGTTTGAATCCATTACATTCACTTACATGCTAATACCCTTGGGAAAGGTATGAATTCTTGTCTTCTCCCCCCAGCTATGGGTAAATAGCAGGACAGACTGGGTTCTATAGCCTTGGATGGCAACTGGTCTAACACAGAAAGAAATGGTAACCTACTGCTGGAAAAAATCTGCCTTGTCAGTCATGTACTGAAAGGTACATGATCACCTAAGCGTGTATCATGCATGGCACATAACTGACTGACTGATAAACAAATTATCATTTTTTTCAAACTAGCAAAATCCCCATCTTAACATTTCTCATAATAATAATAATTTTAAAATAATTCAGCAGACAATGTTATTTTATTTATGGTAACTTGATTTTTGGTTTGCTCTGTTTCTGTTATTCAGTTGACAGTTGCAGGGCTGGGATATTTTTGAACCTGGCCCAGGTGCATGCACTTGGGCTCCCTACATTAAATTGGCCTTGTGTCTCATCCTGCCAGCATGGAGCAACAAGAAAATATAATTGCTTCTCAGCCTTTTAGTTAAAATCAAAGTGTAGTATCTCTTCTTATCAGCTTAACCTGATTCTTTCTTTCTTTCTCTCTCTCTACTTTTATTTTCCTGTCTTACGTCCTTTCTTTTATTTTCTCACTGAAACCAAATAGTCTTTTCCCCTCTTTCCACATGATCAAATGTATTATTTACAAGGTATTGGCAAGGTGTAACAGTCTTGCAAACTAACAAAGCGAGATACAAGCACAATTATAATAGAATGCTATCAATTTGTCAATTTTTGTATGTATTAATTTTTATTTTCATTATTTACATTTGTGTAATACCACTTGTCGATCCCGGTCAGCGGCAACAAATAATGTTCCCCCACAATTTGTTTCTCACATTCCTTCAGACCACCACGGTTACCATCTGGCTGACTCTTCACTCATTAACACATGACTCGTTTATTGCTGGTATCATGACGGTAGGCACAGTTCCACTCAACTCAGCTGGTGCTTGTTTGTTAATGACCATTCACTCCTCTGCCACTTGTTTATTGATCTCAGAGCATGAGAATACCATTGATGAAGCAAACTGAAGAGAAGGCAGTTCTACAGCTGGAGCTACACAAAAAACAAGAATCCTTCGGAATAAAGAATTAACTTGGGTTAAAAATGTAACAATGATTTGGTTTATACACAATTTGTTGTATACAGCAGTTTTAACCCTTCCCATTTACTGTGATAATCAAATGACACTGGGATCCCCCTTCGAGTCTGCAGCTTGTGTTAGCAGTAACTTAAATTTCTAAGTTCTGGTCTTCAGGGCTGACACAATGTCTTGATCAGGAGCTCTTAGCAAATGATGTTGATTCCAGTAGCAGTAATGTGGGAAATCTCTACGAGTTGTCCAAACCTTCAGCTTATATGGTCTCCTGCATCCGCCAGGGCTGGGGTTGTCTAAGGTCTGGGTTCAGTTGTCTTCTACCCTAAGCATCAACCTTTTCTAAAATTTCATATATAAAAAATACATTTACTCAAGTGGTTTTCCAAATTTGGAGTTTTCCAGCCCCCTTTTGTGAGTGGTCAGAGGAATCAAGTTGCCTCTTAATTCCAACCTCCTTTGCATCTCACCTCGCACCATTGCTCCTCATAGGCAATGCTAATCTCCCTCTTCCTTTTCCTACTTTTACAGCAGCTAACTTCAGCCTGCTCCTAGGTCCAGTGCGATGAATCCAACTTCTAGATGACATAGTGAAGATGAAAGGGATTTTCAGTCAATAATCTTTCTGTATCAGTTTGTCCCATGCTGTGATTTCTCAATCAACCAGACCAATCAAGAATTTGGAAAGAAAATTATTCCCATTCATTCCAGTAATAAAAACAAAAGTTTATCTTTCCTATGTTTATGCATTTTGACGATCAACAGACCACACAGCCTTTTTGTCCATGGTCACTCCAAAATAGTTATTAATTTTTCTTTTATCACTTGTATCCAAAGGAATCTGAATTAAATTTGGATACAAAAATATTTTTCTGGACAAGTGTCACAGAAATTCTAATGACGAATGCACCAAGCTGGCCTCTATCTCTGTGGGGACACTTCTCTTCTGGATGGCTGATTTAAAACCAAATGTTTCTTTTCCCGGCTTTTTTGTTCAGAGCCGTCTTTAAATGTTATTTTGGTGACCACCCTGGTCTCTTTATCAACAACACATGTTTTTATTTTATCTGACATCTTTGCAGATACCTTACTGTTTTTTTTCTCATCAGCAGGAATTGGGGAAGGACATCTAATCTTGGTTTTGCTCAATCTTACTGAATTCTATTTAGTTAAATTTGGGTTCTATTCTCCTTGAATTATTTTAAAACATGATTTTTCAAAACATTTCATTTTTAATTTTATTCTCAACTTTTCAATTCATCTTCCTGTGAATTTCAACAGTTACTATCCTGTTAGTAGACTCTTTTCTCTTCCTTTTTTCTTTCTTTCTCTTTTTGTTTGATCAACCACTGGAGATCTCAATGTCACATTCCGACTAATATGCTTCAACGAATTTCAAAATAAACCCTTTACTTAATCTATAAGCATAGATTGTTCTAATTCCACTGTCCATATCTAGAGATATTGCATCTTGTTCGTATTTTGTAAGTTTACAGCTATATCATTTTGAAACACCAGTTCTTGTACAATCACCAAGGTTAAGCAAAGTCAAGCCTGATCAGTACCTAGATGGGTGATTGCTTGGAAATATCAATTACTGTAAGCTTGGATGTGCAAGAGGTGTAATGGATGATATTGGTTCAAAATTGGTGATCAGAGTGCTGAGTTCCAATTCCAGTCGGGTTCATTATATTCACTTAGGCGCAATTACACTTGGGAAAGGTTTGAATCCATCTCTTGTCCTCCCACCTATGGGTTAATTAGTAGGAATTGCATGAGTAAATCATTATTATCTCAAAAAAATTTTACAATCAAAAAATATTTTCTGGCATTAAATAATATGCAAAAGGTTAATAAACTGTAAAAAACAATTTTTTTTGTATTTTTCAGTTCTTGCATGTTTCCACAGATAAAAAAAAATTAATTAAATTGTTCCAGAATCATTTTCTTTATTTGTTTTGTTTTATTTTTAATTATTTATTTTGCCTTGCAGAATGTTTGTCAGGCAAATCAGCCGAGAAGGATCATGAGGCCAGTCAGAATTTATTGCAACTGATTGCAAATAAAGAATTGGTACAGAGCCTAACCAATTCAGTTACTGAACTGGAGAGACTCATATCTACTTCCAGTCAGGATAACGGTAAGATTGCTTAATATTCACTTAATAGATTTTTTTTTTCTTTCATCTGTGAACACTACAAGGGTGGGCTGAAAAGTTCATAAGCTGACTATGAAGGAATGATGCTAGAGCTTTGAAATCTTGCATGCATTATTTCAAATCTTCTTATTAATAACTGCATTGTTTCTTTCTCGGTACGAGGGCGGGCTGAAAATTCCATAGGCTGACTATGAAGGAGTGATGCTAGAGCTGTAGAATCTTGCATGCATTAATTTCAACTCAAATTTGGTATCATGATATTATCAAGTACCAGCAGAAAAATGCTAATTAACGCTGATATGGTTGCTATGTTAGGGGATGATTGATTGATTGATTGATTTTTTTGCTGCGTATCAACCCTTTGCAGGTTATTTAAAGCCAGAAAATATTTTTATATTCAAAGATTTTTTTTTTATTTTTTGAGATAATGATTTAGTGACACAAGTTTTACTAATTAACCCACAGCTTGTGGGAGAAGAGGTGGATTCATACTTTCCACAAGGGTATTTGCACATAAGTGAATATAACAAACCCAACTGGAATTGGAACTCAGTTCTCTGATTAACAATTCCAAGATATCATCAATTACACCACCTGCACATCCATGTTTAAGGCATCTGTTTTTCCCAAGTGGTCACCCATCTAGGTTCCAGGCTCAATGTTACTTAACTTCAGAGATCAGATGAAAATTTGTATTTCAACATGATGTAGCTATAAGCCATTAGGGAATGTAGCTCCAGCTTTATCAATAGTATAAAGTGGGCAGCTGAATTTAGGAGGGGAAGGGAGAGTCTTGAATTTGACCCAAAGTCTAGACATCCTGCAACTGCCACCACCGATGATGACATTGTCTTCACCACATGGTGTAAATGACAGGCAATTGTCTATAAATCAAATAGCCAATGCTGTTGGCATATCCTGTGAGAGAGTAGATAATATATGAACTTGGCATGGCGAATGTTTCTGCTTGGTGAGTGACATGTCTTCTGACACTTGGTCAAAAGTGCAAGAGGCTGATCACATCACAAGAAAATCTGACATAGTTTGAGGGCAGATCCAGCTGGTTTCCTTGAAGGTTTCCTCATCCAGAATTAGTGTTTGTTAATTCATTCAAGCCAAAGAGACAATGCAAGCAATAGAAACATCCATCCTCACCTGCTCCAAAGAAGGTCAAGGTCATTTTATCTGAAATGATTGGATGCAAAAGGCATTGAATTTATTGACTCCTTCAAAAGGGCCACACCATCAATGGAGAGTACTATGCGAACTTACTGAGGCAGTTATGAAAAGTCATCAAGACCAAATGCTAAAGGGGTCCCGTTTCCTCAGAACAATGCTCTAGCAGAGATGACCTTGGTTTCAATGGCTGGTGTATGTGACTATTCTTCTTCCCTCTATGACTATCATCTATTTCCCAACATGAAAAGACACCTGGCTGGGAACCAGTATCACAGTGATGATGTCATCTGCTGTTGATGACTTTTTTGACCAATACAATGAAAGCTTCTTCACCAATGCAATTAAGGACTGCAACACTGATGGAAGAATTGTGTGGATCACAAAGAGGACTATGTTGAAAAATAAACCTCATTTGGTCACATTCCATGAGAATATCTTGTTTAGCCTATGAACTTTTCAGCCACGCCTCGTAAGTTTGAATAAGCTCAAATTAATAAGCCATATATCAATGGAATATCAAAGGCCAAGTACAGATTGATTTTTGTCAGTCAATCAATTTATGAATTTTTTGATTATTATCCACATCTAAATAAATACAAGACTAGAATTTAGTAAGCAACAGTTGTTTTTCCACAGAGACAAAGGTCTTCCACATCAACTGAAGGATAATGTTATTATCGAGACATGAAAAGAAATACTTGGTGTCATGTTTTTTCTCTTTTTTTTTTCCAGACGTACGGAATCATGGTTCTCCACACCTTCCTTTACTTTATTATATGAGAATTGCTATGACTTTTTGTGAAAGCTAATGGAGTGATTTCCCATTGTTTTCTTCATGGTTTTAAATGTCATGTCATTTCAGGCTGTAGGTGATCATTGCTCTTCACTACTTCCTTTATTTTATTATATATGAATTAATATGACTTCTTGGGAAAGATAGTGGAGTAATTTCCTGTTGTCTTCTACACAGTTTTAAATGCAATGTCCCTTCAGGATAGAGTTGATCACCACTCTCCACTAATTCCTTTACTTTATTATCTGTAAATTGCCGTGAATTGAAAGATAGTTGAGCAATTTTCCATTGTCTTTTCTATTGAACTCAGTGTAGTCTTCCACTTAGCCTGGCTGCCATCCAGAACAAGAGAGCCCAGTCTTAGCTGCTATTCACCCATAGCTGGAGCAAGAAATGATGGATCCAAATGGCATTAGTGAAAAAAAAACATTACTCCCAATGTAATGTTTACATTTGTATTCTCTTATTTAATCAAACAATAACGTGTATTCATATTTATTGTTGTTATTCCAATATTTTTTTAAAAGTTGTTAAGTTCATATATTTAACAATGCAGTAAGGAAAATTCCTTGAGTATTTTATAGTTGTGAAACTTGCAAAGAGCTCATTCAATCACAAACTTCATTATGGTTCATCAGGGAAATTCAAATTGGAAACACAATGACATTTTCACAGGTGTTTCTATTATTGAGTTAAAAACTGATGCTATTTAAAATTCCAATATTCAGACATCTTTCTTTAGAAAATTAATGATTAAAATTTTATCAGTGTGTCATAAAACTAAAACTTGCTGTGATAAAACAAATGCAAGTTCTGAAATCAGGGACCTTGAAGTAAACAAAAAACAAATCTAAAAGTCATCAGAAGAAAAAGGAATATTTTGTTAGTCATTGTAATTAAAGTTGCTGTAAGAATCATGAAGCATTAAAGTTCTAGAAAAATAAAATACATTTATCTATTCTTTATCATTTTTCACCATCAAAACAATAAATAACATAACAATACGAACTTATACAGACTTGGAAATGAAAGGTTTTAATTGCATAGCATATTGTTCATTGTTGATACAATATTGACATAATGAGAATAAAAATAGAGAGAAACAACAATTTGTCTTTTTGCATCTTTTCATGTGATTTTTCTAAGCTGCACAAATAAATTAGTTAATTTTGTGATTGTTTATAAAAAAAACAATTATTTAATGCGTAGGCAGTTGCTTTAATAATAAGTTCTTTACAAAACTTTTCACTGACCTCATGAAAAGCCACACATATTTCCATGTAATAATAGGCATGTAATTTTTCTTTCATTCATATTCACCAGAATTACTTTGAATATTTAACATATGGTTAACGAGCTCATACAAAAGAATGAAACAATAAACCAAAGTTCAAAGATTTAATAATTTCTGTGTCAAACTTGAGAGAATGTTGATATTTTTTATTATGATTTAGATTAAAAGGCAATTAAAAATATATATCGATAAAATATGAATACCGATATATATATATATACCGATGATATATCAGGACAAAATGAAGAAGCTTGCTATAAACAAAATCTGAGCCACATCAATGAAAATAAAAAGTTCTGCCAAAAATGAATTCATAAAAGATAACAATGAGGAATGAACAGGATTTCTTAACAATAGAAAGCACTTTTAGAAAATTAAGCATATAAGATTGGCAAGTGAGTGAAAGGAAACTAAAGAGACTTTGTTTTCCACTTACTATAAATAACATTCCCTCAAAACTACATATTGAAATCCTTTATTATAATAATAATAATGTGCCATTTGTATTGGTTGTTGTGGTGGGTTTTTGAGGCCTTAGTGTTGAGAAATGAATGAAAACCCTTATGAAGACTGAATGATAAAAAGAGATTGGGGAAGAGATATAAAAATGTTGATAAGACAAGTAGAAAGAAGAAATTTCTTACCAGAAGTAAAGAAAAGTTACAGAGGTGGAAAGAGTTGAGCAAATCACTTACTAAAACGAAGGAGAATAATGGAAAAAAAATTAAACAGTAGGAATTTAATAAAAGGGGTATAAAAATGGACAGTCTCAATATTGATAGACACAGGATCCTTTCTAAGGCAGGTAAAAAATATAGGCAAAATTAAACCTTCATCCCCACAAAAAAAGAAACAGAATGTCAAAAGAATGGTCATAGAAAGTTTTAGGCCTCCATTACATCAGACATTCTCTTCCATGGATCGAGAGCAATCAATTTGTTGACTCAAATTCTGGCATAGTTTCTGTATGAATGCAAGAATTGCAAACAAATTGTCACAACTCTGAGTTTCATGCACATGGCAATTATCAGACACAAATTGAAAATTGACCATTGAAAAATTGAAATGTATGTTTATTAGTAGTATAAATATATATACACAATAATTCATATATTATTCATTTAATCTCCCAGTCACATAGACAGGGAGCCCACAAAGAATCAAGACACTTATTCTGATCATATTGAGGCAAAAAATTAAGTTAGCATTACTATGTCCAACTGTGTGTGTTTATATATATATATATATATATATATATATATATATATATATATATATGAATGAGAGTGACTCTGTGTGTGTGTGAGTAAGTAAGTGGCCATGGTTAAAATGTAAATGGCAGAACTGCCCAAAAAACAGAAGTTTGCAATGAACAATAAAAAAAAAAGGAAAGAACAGGACAAAAACTAATATAAAGCAAGCAAACAATATATGACAAACAAATTAACAGTAATGAGACAAAAAGTTCACAAACTAAGAATTGAGGTTGACACACAAGAGCAAATTTGGATAAACAAACATAGCATTCTGACTTCAAGACAGACTGGAACCGAACCAGATAGAAACAGAGAACTGGCCTATTTTATTGACTAAGAAGAAATTCCAGCATCATGCATTTGTGTGTTTCTGCCTATAAATTGGGGAGGGACAAGTGTTTTGCAGTTATTTTCATTTGGGATTGGAAGCAACAATATATATATATATGATTTATGTTTAACGTTGTTATTTATAGATACAAGTATTTAAGCAAATGCTCTGTTTATGATAAAATTTCACATAAGAAACTTGTTCATAAAATCCAGCATCCTATGTCATTTCAAATTGTTTCTGCCTTAACCCATTTCTTAACATAACCTATTTGTTTACATTCGAAGGTCCAGAGACTGTTATAAATGTATGAATCTTCCATGAATCTCGTTTACATTCATAACTGCTCTAGGTAAGAATGTAAACAAATTGTTTGCGTCATATGTTAAGGAGGTCGACAATTTATTTATTAAAGACATTTTTTATTTATGATTTAAGGTTGTTATTTTATAGATACAAATATTTAAGCAAATTCTGTTTATGATAAATTTAAATAACATTTAGGCAATATAAACAGAGCATTTTCATAAAAATATATAACAACGTTAAACATATATATAAATTGTCGGACCTCGTCCATTTCTTAACATATGAAACATAGAGCAGTTATGAATGTGCGAGATTCAAAGATTGTAGTTTATAACCCATAAGGTTCATGGTGGCTGAGTGGTTAGGCACGTCAGCGTATATGACTGTTCCGTTATAGGATGCAGGTTCGAATCCTGTCTATGAACGAATATTTTCTATGAAAATTTCTCGACATTCAGGCCGTAAATGTTATTTAATACTTTTATCATAAACAGAGCATTTGCTAAATACTATAAAATAACAACGTTAAACATAAATAAAAATGTCTTTAATAAATAAATTGTCGGACCTCGTCCATTTCTTAACATATATATATATATATATATATATATATATATGAAATAAAAAGTCCGACAATTATTTTTTAAGACATTTTTTATGTTTATACATTCTTTTATAGATACAAATATTAAAGAAATGCTCTGTTTATAATAAATGTCCAAGAAATTTTCATAGAAAATATTTGTCCTCCGACAGGAATCAAACCTGTATCCTATACAGAACCATATAGCCTGACATGCCTTAATTGAGTGGGCCACAGAGGAGCGTTCGGTTAGCAATGTCAATTTTACTGTCTTTAAACTACAATCTTCCATGATTATCTCACATACACTTATATCTGCTCATGGCATATTCAAATGTAAACAAATGACATCACACATTATGAAATGGACAAATATTTTCTATGAAAATTTCTCAGACATTCAGGCTGGTAAATGTTGTTTAATACTGTTTATTATAAACAGAGCATTTACTTACATATTTGTATCTATAAAAAGAATGTATAAACATAAAATGTCTTAAAATATATATAGATATATATATAGATATATATACACACACACATGCACATACACACACACACACATATATATATATATATATATATATATATATATATATATATATACACACACACATACATATTGTTTAAAATTTTGCTATATTTAAAGGAGTCAAATGCTCAGTATCAAATATAGTGTTTATTGATACAGTAATCTTCAGACTAATTTGTCTCAAAATTGCTTATGGCATGAATCTGACAGTCACCATGCAGTGTTGATTTGTGATATATATATATATATATATATATATATATATATATATATATATATGACCCACTGGCAAAGTTGGGTTCACAAAATATTAGCAGTTTTTTTGCCAACACATTCTTGTTTATAATGAATGCAGCAAGTGATAGAAGCAAAACAAACATAGAACAGTGAAAAACAAAACAAGGAAATAAAAAACAATGTCTTCACTAGAACTATAGCAAAAAGAACATTTGCAGACAGGGGGATACAGAGGGCATCTAAAAAGAGACAGAGAATCATTTAGTATAAATCAGAACAAATGCATCAGGATCAATTAAAGTGAGAATAGATAAATCCCAGAATAACTGCATTTTTGGGGGAAAGAAATAAGACTGCAAATGAGCTCATAAGTAAATGTACCAATCTGATTCAAATAATCAAATCTAAAAGCAATCCTGCTCAAGTAAGAATAGTAATTGCATCAATTGTGCAAATGGCTTGGATACACGTGTAGTACCCTTTTTGTAGCAGTAACAGCCAAAAGTAAATAAACCTTGTATCAGCAGCAGTTCAAATATAAAAACATGTGAACCCTAAAGTCTCTTTTCTTCCGATTCCTTTTTTGAACAGCTGGCATAAACTTTTTATGCTGAAGCTAGAAAAGCTGTGAAATGATTCACTCTAAAACACACCCAAAAACATTTTGTTGTCTATACAATTCATTTCTAACAAAATAAAATTTTGTTTTAAACTTTACTTTTGGTAATTTTGATTTAATAAATGTTATCTTTGCATTTCAAATAAATTGGTCATTTATTTTTGTGCATGTACTCTTTACACCACCATTATTCCTTGTGCTATAAAATATTCCTGTAAGAAAGCTTACACATTTAATTATTGAAGTAGCTAATCACATATCATGAGCATATAAAATGATGCTACAAATATAATGCAGAGGATCATAGGAATAAGTGATTCTTGAACTCTGAGATTCTGAAAATGTTCCTGATTGGGGACATAATCATATCTGGGGGACCATATGGTGAATACAGAAGAAAATAAAAGAAAGAATATCAGGACTTTGCCCATGAACTAAGAAAATCCATGGTACATTAAGTTTTGGTTTTTATCTATAGTAATTGCCCCAAAATCATCTAGAGATAAGATTGGATGAATTATTGAGTTGATGAAGGTTTCAGATCATCTTGACCATGGGAGTAATGGTACCTTTCTCATTTGCTTTCTTCTTCTCTTCTTAATTTGGATAGACTCGGTGTATGAGTTTCAAAAATACGAATTATTTTTCCTTCATCATTTTAGAAAGCTTGATCAGTTTCCATTCATTGATGGCTTCAGCTCGCAGTGCCATGAGCTGTATCACTAACCACTTGGCTGAAAAGTTTCAGGGAAGAAGTTACTGGAACACCCAGAAGAATTTCAACTTTGGTTCCTCACTCTGCCACAGACTCAAGTCTGGTTTGACGTCTCACATTTCAAAACAGAAACTGACAAATTATTTCAGTCTTTTCACACAACAAGTGAGTCATCACCTTTTGTTTGTATTATATTTTTTGTAAAAATTTGATGAATTATTAATATATTTGAATTAAATTTTTTCTTCAGTTAACCAAAAATCATATGTCTGTTCACATAATTTCAGCCTCGTTCAACAAAGAAGCAATTCTTTGGTATATTTGGTTTTTAAATATTTACCTTACTCACAATTCAAAAATTAATAGAGCCACATAACTCAGCCAAGAAGTGAATTTTGTGTTATAAAATGATCATTAAGATATCGAATGGTCATACACAACTCTCGTCCTAAATCATCTATATAATAAATGCAAATGTCAGTGTGTCACACTTTTTCAACTTTACTCCTAGAGGCCGTAGCCCAACATATCATACCATTTTGGTATCAGGCCAACTCCATAAGCAAATTAAAAACAGAAAAAGATTGGATCCGGACACACAATCCTGAAATTTTGGATTCCTAAATTTTCATTTTTGCAATTGTTTTTGGATTCCAGCATCTTGGCTTCTACTGATAAAAACAATTAAAGGGACACAATGCTAACTTTCAGTAGCTCATGTTCAAATGAAAAAAATGCTGTTCTTAAATTACAGTGTTTCAAAATAAAATTGTCTATCTTTTCAACTTTACTCCTAGAGGCTATAACCCAATATATCATACCATTTTGGAATCAGGCTGACTCTGTGAGCAAATTAAAAATATTCTGGGCCATATCCAGACCAGCAACCTGAATTTTTGGATTCCCAAGTTTTCATTACTGTGATTGTTTTCAGGGATATTTTTTTTTCTTTACATGAATTTTTGCAAGAAATTTTTTTTGTACAATAACAATTTTTATGACCTGAAAATAAATTTGGGAATAATCAAAATTAATTGTGAAATCCAGCAAAAGTCACCCATAAAATAAAAATAATTGTTTGTATCAAAAGTAAGGGCCTACATACATCAAATTGTCTTTAAATTAAGTGGCAGCAGAAGAATTATCATTGAACTTTTAAAAGGTAAGCTTAAATATTAATGCAATTCTTAAATACAGTGAGCATTTTGAGTTCTTTTGTAGTTTATTATTGCCTATTGCATTTACTCCTCTCTACCTATTGTGATGAAAGCCCAATCAAGAGCTCTCTACAGGAGCTAGCTTGAATGCCACCCAATTGGGAAGCTTTTAAGCTAGTTTAAAATATTTCAACTATTTTGACAGATGATTTACAATGAGAGTTGTGTGTGCATGGTATGTTTTGGTGAAAATTAAATTACAGAATACCATCATTTTTTGTCATAGATTCATTTTGATGCTTTCAGAATCACTCCATGAAAAATGAATTTAAGAAATAATATATTTTTAATTCATTCTAACTTGTTAAAGTTGATGAGAAAAAATTTAGTCAGTTTCTCTTCTGGCTTGTAATAAGCTTCCTAAATCTGCTTCTTCCAACCTTCAAAGTAGCATAAGCCAAACAGTCCAACAACATGTGCCTCCTGTTGGCTACCACAATCATACTCTTACTCTCACTTTCTCTCTCTCTCTCTTTCTCAGCATTTTTTGATAGATTGAATGACAATTCAAATTTTCATAAGTGGAAAGGGATTCTTGCAAAAGTATCCAACTCCAAAATGTATCATTTTCAAATATACAACCCGTAAAGCCACCATTTTCTTTCTGAGAATATCTTGCATGCAAGACACATCCAAATCAGTTTTCATCCAGATGAGCCATTTTCTCTATTCTTGAGAATTTATTTGTAAAAATTTGGCAATATTTTCTTTTTTAAAATGAAACATTTATCTTGTTCATTATGAGATGCAATAAAAGATGATCAGTGAAAAACAGTTTCATATAAAGTGCTATCATTTTCATTGATTTCATGTTGTATATTCTCCATTTCTGTCTGCTGTAAAAATCTTTACAAAAAATTTTCCTTTATTTCTGATCTGTTTTTAAAACAAATACAGTGATACCTTGTGATGTAATGAATATGCATACACCTGGGTTCCCCCTCACAGTAATATGATTGGCTGGTGTCATAAATAGCCATAAATACAGACTGATGTGGGGGTACAAGGAAGATGCCTATTGCCTATGCCTATTGCCTACCAATAGGATGAGGACCAGTCCATTACGGTACCTGCTAGATTGTCCTACTTGGTTAAAGTAGTCTAAAACCACTGTTCTACTTCGAACAAATATATCCCTTTCTGGGACATATCATCTTGAGATACAAGTAGCTTAAGATATGAGTTTTTTGAGATGTTATTGGTGGCTCCGGCCATTTTTTGACTAATTTCTGAGATATGAGTTGTGCTTCTGGAAGTTGCCGCTAGTTGGCGCACAGGTAAAGCATCAGTACAATGAGCATCTCATTCTTTCTTGTGTGTTACCCGTACAGTAAAGACGTATCTCGTTCATTGTCTGTGTTTGTGAATCATTTTTACAGTTTCTAATTACATTACAGTAATTTTTTTTTGTGTACCATCATAAGTCCAAAGAAAGTGAATGTAAAGAAAAGTTGTGAGAATAAGAAGAAGAAGAAGAGAATGCTGTTAATAGAAGTAAAGCAAGAAATAAAAAAAACATGAAAGAAAATGCAATTTTAGTTCATTTAATGTTAGGAAAATGAAGTTTTAGTTTGTTTATTATTAAGAAAGTGAAGTTTTTGTTTATGTGTCTACAGTCGCCTCCCTCCCTCCTCCTCCAGCATTCATCTCTGTTAGCCACATATGTCTGTCTCTTTTTTTTTTTTTTCATATTTATGTTAAGCTTTGGTAAAGTATACATATGTTTTTTAAATAAAAACATCTCTTTTTCATAATTTAGGGTGGTTTGGGGATGTTTTACAGGGTTGGAATTGATTTTTTAAATGGGAAAAATGTTTTTGACGCACAAGCTCAGTTATGGAATGGATTAAACTCGTATCTCAACGTATTACATTAATGGTATTGTTTCTGAAATCAAATATTTACTGAAACTTGAATTTTTCAAATTTATTTTAAACGTTTCCTTCTCTTTCATGGTAATTTCCACAAAGGTGTTTGTATTTGTGCTAATGAATGTTATATATTTTAATTATATCTGCTGACACATTTTACTACTTCGGATGAAGGACTTCCATCTCCTATTGTCACAGGATCTTGTTAATAACTACTTGTCAGAACTGAACAGTAGTTAGAAAAATGTATGTTATCCAGTAACTCAGAGAATATACATTCACTGATGTTTAAACATGGCTTAGATTAATTACATATCTACTTGTTTCATCAAATGTGGAGCATTGTTAACATATAAGTAGTTTATAACAAGTGATAAATATAAAATGGCATCAGTCTTCTGATCTTTCCTTCCTGTACTGAACATTGTTAGTCAATACTAAGTTGATAATAGAATTTTTTTTTAATCATTTCACCCCAAACAAAGTGATAATGCCACTAAGACACAAGGAATTACTGGGAGTCAAAGAGAATGAGAAGACTTTAATGAGGAGATAGAACAATAAAAGAACAGGGTTCAGGAAGACAGAAGATGGTGATAATGCCACTAAGACACAAGGGATTACTGGGAGTGCAAAAGAATGAGAAGACTTTAGTGAGGAGAAAGAACAATAAAAGAACAGTCACAGGAAGACAAATGCAATGTCAGTTACCATCTAAATTTTTGATGATTGTAGTGACCGGGAAAGCATCCTCTTGGGAGTTTGTTCCACAAAGCAGTGGTGTGTGCGAAGAAGCTACTGATGTGAAACTTATATCTTGCTAATGGAATACAAAGAGAATGAGGATGGTTTGCTACAATGTGCATAACCTTGCAAGTTTTAGCTGTGAAGGTTAGAACTTCTGGATCTTGGGAATGTAGTCATCTGAACATTTTCCATGGAAATAGCGATAGAGGTTTGCAACATTTTGGCCAATTATTCAAAAGTAGAACAAGTACTAGATGCCATAAAAAGATTTGCTTTGAAATTCTAATTGTTAGTTTATCTTCAGATGATGGTTTTTTGAGACACAAAATCTCCATAAAAGAAACATAAAAGATTATGAGGGACATACAAAACTCCTGTGGTAAGAAAGAGAATTAATATGTATATGTTTCTTAGGGATAACCAATTACTTGGGCAAATTCCTCCTTCATATATGAGTTGAAGCCACAACCTTCACCCTTCTTTTTGAAAAGAATATTTAGTCAGTCGAGAAATGACAAAAGGATGATGTTCACTACTTGAAAAAAAAACCAATGAAGATCAAATATTTTTTTCAACCTGCATTCTCAATTAAAATGTCTTCCGATGCTGCCATAGTAGTTCTTTGATTTATGTTGGAAGAAGAGACATAATGATAAATGCTTTGCTGCTCCTTTTGCAAGTCGATCTTTAACACCTGCTGACATAAATTATTGCCTCATTGAATTAAGAATGTCGTCTATTTTATTTCCTTGTGAACATTCTTATGCATTTGAATACGGATAGCATTTCATTGTTTGTCGTAACCATAAATCAGTGAGATGTATTATTAAAACCTATAACTGAAGCATCACCTTGAATAAAGCACATTTTAATGCAACCGCAGAAAAATTACTTTGAACAAGAGTAATCAAGAGTCAAACTAATGCAAGTTGTTGACAGTCTCAGTCAAGCAACATTAAGCAAATAACAAACGAAAAATCTTCAGGAGTTGATCTACTCATAGAACATGAAATTCCAGACCAACCATGTGGAATAAAGTTGGTCAAGATCTTTTCAGTTCATTCAGAAATGTCATCATGATAGTAGACTAGTACTCTAAGTACTTTGAAATTCATGCATTTTCTCATATTAATGCATCGACTGATATATACCCAATGAAAAACAACTTTCTCAAAACATGGTGTTTCTAAATAAGTAATTTCAAATGATGCTTCAACGATTGTTGCTCACAACTTTTACCCGGATACCAAAAGTCATTTTGTGATGTTTTAATAAAAAGGACAATTTCATCTGTAATGAAAAGGCTGTATAAGTGTTTCAATAAAAAGTG